GCCAGGGGGTTTTGGAAAAAAAGAAGGGTGGGTTTTTCCGGGGGCCCCCCGGGGGGGGGGGCCCTTTTCTTTTGGGGGAAAGAATTTGGGAAAGGTCTTTTGGGCCAAAGGGGGGGGTTTTTACGGGGCCCCCGGAAAAACTTCCCCCGGGGGGTGCCCCCCTGTTTTTTTTCCCCCCCCCCCCCCCCCCCCCGATTAAGTCACGGCGCTTCGCGCTTGGTCATGTGCGAGCCTGGTCCGGTGAGAACCCGGCGTGCTCCGTCCCGGCGTGGTAGGGATGCGAGGTCAATGCTCTAACGATTACGGCATGCACGACTATGAGTACACCCCCTCCCCCCCCCCGCCCCCCTCTTTTGCATGTTTCTTCCTGTGCTGCTAAGTCGATATCCAAGTGTTGCTCCATCTCACCAGGTTGGTGGTGACGAACTTTCTCGAGTATCGTTGGTAGAGGGGCCAGCTGTACGGGAAGTCCGAGATGGTGAGCCAGAGAGCGACGTCGTAAGGGTACCGGTACTTGAACCGGGCGCGGGTGTAGTCCACGTACTCGGCAAACGCCGGGTCGTTGTTGTTGTAGATGGCGTTCCCGTTAATGTGACCCATCACCCTCCACATGTCCGTCACGTCAGCGCTGGAGTGGAAGTTCGTGCCCTCGAGGTTGCTGCCCTTGACCCAGAACTCCTCATTCACCCGGAATGCCGCGTGGTAGAGCTCCTCGAACGACCGGTCGGTGGCGACCAGCACGTCCCATTCGATGATGGCGAGGGCGTCGTACTCCGAGAGCTCGGCATGGACGCCCTCGTCCAGAAACATCTTGAAAAACATCACCGAGGGACCTTTCGGGTACACGTCCTCCTGATGTTGTTATTTTGTGGCAGGGGTGGCACGGTATCAGACGTTTTGGGGCAACGGAGTTCAGGGAGAAACCATCATTGTTCTGTTGGAAGTTGTGTGAAATATTCACTCTACAGATCAATTGGTGTGTCGAGGTCGATGTCGTCATCTGGACTCATTAGTCTCTTTCAGGCGCTCGTGAGCTGGCTGTAGGATGCTTCCGTGACGGGATAGACCGAAGAAGAGTCGCCCACCGAGGTTTGTTTTCTTTAGCTTTCGAAACAGTTATTTCCGAGAATGTTCACTTCAGTATATGTTGTGTACATGCATATAGGTAGACTTCGTACCAGGTATGTATTTGGCGATTGCTTTAATGCCCACAATATATTTTGAATTTTGAATTTTTTGTAGGCCAGTGCCGTTGGCGTCCCCCGTGTATCCCGATCGGAGTAGTATCCAACGGCCACCAACCCGTTGGCATCCCAGCATGACTATCCACGACCACAGATGTGAGACCAAAACAATTAAGCATGAAGAATTTTCTTTTTCCACACTGCAGATTCCGCCCAAACGTACAAAACGCGTCAGTTCGGAGATCCGCTAATACTCCGGTCGCGTGTGTGCCATGGTATGGTATCGTACATACGAATGTTCCGCCGCCATTTTCACCTCGTTTTCTGTGATTGTTCTCTGATATTTGTTTCAAATTTCGCCTCCTCTGTATTGAATAGATTTTTCATATGCATACATTCGTGGTGCGGACAGGATGCGTATCGCGCCGCGGCAATGACAAACGCGTAGTAGTCCAGCTCTAGTCTTCAAGTACAGCGTAGTTCCTGGGTATTTCGTTTTTCACTCACTCCGCAACAATCAATGTAGATATGTCATGTAGTTCACTCTTTCTTGTTCTCGGTTGTTTCGCACGTTTTCATCCGAACCCATTCCCGACACAAAAAAAGGAAACTCGAAGCTACATATGCATATCTCCGTACGTTGCTGTTGTGAGGATGCTTCGCATCGCTACCAGTTGTGGAACGCGTGCGAGCAAGGGCGACCTCTCACAGCCAACGGTCATTAGAGACCACCTCATGTTTTTTTGTGGATGTCATTTTCTTTTTCTCCGATGCATGTGTCGTCCACTCTGTGACGGCGAACGAGACAAAATAATCCACACTACCACCTGCCCCTGGTGGACATTGCTTGTATTCCGAGAGCTCAACCATGTGTTGCTCCGGCGGGCTCCTAGTTTACACATACGATGACTAGTATAAACGATGCCTACGCCCCGAAAGGAACATCCTTCCGTGTTGTGAGAGGCATTTATTTGCGACGGTCCTCCCCGTCGACGATCTTTCTCTACATATGTGGGTCTTCGTACCATGCACGAAGTTTGCGGCTCCTGTGAAAAGAATTGCAATAATCTCTCACCTCTTGTTCTAGATGCGCGTACACGGTGCGAACATCAGCGAAGCAGCGGCCGGCGGTGGCAGCGATGACCTCCGCCGCTGCCCCCACGGCCTCGCTGTCCTCCTCTCCCTCCGCGTAGTACAGCACGAGATCCACGTTCTGGACGGTTAAGGGTGAGCAGTCGGTAGGCCACCGCCCGAGGGACGCAACCGCGCGATCGAGATCCCCGTTGTACGCTGGAACAACAACCGCAAGCTTGTTGTCCTTCTCCGGCCGTTGCTGCTCATCTGCGGGCATGGCATATCCTGCTGTCAGTAGTTTTGAGTCCCCCGTAGGAGACGAGAATGTGTCATGCGACGCGCCCGCGAGAAAGGCCAAGGCCGCCAGTGGCAGGCACGTGGCTACTGCTGTGTGACCTCGCATTACGCGCAGGACGTGACCTACTGCTGTATAGCCAACCCTCTCGCGAATGCGCCTGTCTTGGTCTCGAAGGAAATGCGCCTGGTGAGCAGGTATCACAGAAGAAGTGAGAGGGCGGGATCTGGATGGATAGATAAATGGGTGGGTCACACGGTTAAATGCTGAACATTCTCAGAGAGGGAACATGGAACAGCGTTGTTTAGCAATAAGTTGTCTGATTGTGGTCAACAACGCCAAGAAATTACCCCGAAAATTTCAAAATCTTGGAACCTTCAAATGGGAGAAGGAGACACTTGGCACCGTTCGAACGGTCTCATCGGATGATTATGGTGGGTCAAGAGTAGGCTAAATGTTGAAAATTCTTGAGATATGGAACTCTGGAACACAGCAGCAGCAGCAGCAGCACCACTGCTAGCGCTAAGTTGTCTGATGATAGTGGTCAACGACGCGGACCGTTCTCGTAAAGATCTGTACATGTCAAGAATGGGTGAAGGAGGCAAGTCGCACCAAGTTGGCTCGCAGGTCACAGCAGAGTAAATGTCGAAACTTCTCATATATCTAGGGAACCAACACGAACGAACACGGAACAGCAGCGGCAGTACAAGTACAGCATCGAACGGTACTGTGCAGTCTGATTTGTGCTCGAGAACGATATGAATCCTTCTCGTAAAGATCTGCAACTCTGAATACCATCGTATGGATGAAGGAGACAAAAATTTCACCAAGTTGGGACCGGCTCATCGGATGGTGATGCATGCTCAGGTGGTGTAGTCTATGGGTTGACACCATGTTGTCTGACACCGTTCAGTTCGCGGTCCGCAAACAAGAAGCGGTTGGTGCAGAAAAATCGGTTCATCAAAAGTCCACCTTTAGACTACGAAAATAAAAGAAGTAAATAACGAACGGTGAGAGGGGTGACTAAAATGGCTGAGCTGCGGCTAGTCTAGGCTTCATAGAATAGTCTCGTCAGTAATCGCAGACTTGACAAACAGATTCTACAGCAGTAGTCTACATGTACGTGCATAGGCGAGTCAAAGCCTGGATAATGGTGATGAGCTATTCGCAATTCATTTCACCTTCGAAGACATCTGCGGCGAGGCACGACTGCCTGTTCTGAACGAACCACGACGACGGTCTTCTCACGCAGTTTTTTCGGGTAAATTTCAATGCGTGTGTGCGACGCGTTGTCTCCGACATTTCTGTAGATTACTGCTGTAGATTGGCATGAAATCTGTTTGGAAGCGGCCACCATACAACGAACTGATGAATCCTCAAGTCGTCCTCGTACATGGAGCAGAGCACCAATCAATCCATACGGACAGCGAACAAGAAGTGCGACGAAAACCAAAACTCAATCCTCGTGTTTACAATGCGTAATGAACGTATCCCGTGTGTGCCGCGAATGTTTTCTTCCCAATATTCTGGGGACAGTCTACAGCACTAGTTCGCGTGAAAAGGGAAGATTGTGATGTTTTTGCGTGGCTTCAAATACCCCATTTTCGTGGGAACAAGGTCAGGCTTGGTTTATTTTTTAGGGCGAAATAGGTTACATTGTTCTCGGGCATTGCCGCCGGGCAAGTATAGTAAGCTCTACACTCATCACGGTTAGCGCCGTAACACTCACGCAATCAGTCACAGGGATGGCCGCGATGAAGCTATAACAATAGAAATATCAATCCCCATGGCGCAAAGGGCAGGCGGACAACAATCAAACCGGTACAGGGCCGTGTGTGGTGCTAGCATTGTAGAACGAGATGATGCAGCAACAATGCTGCCTGGTGGTATTGAGCCTGCTCCTTGGACTTCAGAAGCTGGACACTGTCGTCCAATTTCTGCATCCCCGCTGTCGGTAGAACCATATAATTAAAGCGTGGTCGCGTTTCTTAAGATTGACGTGTTTTCATTGGTGAGCCGTGCGGTCGATGCCAATTCAAACACACCCGGGTAACGGATTTACTTGATCGACCTGCAACCAATCAGCAGGGCACCACAGATTTCACACCGGAATGAGGAACTATATCTGACCAACGAACCAACTACCGAACGAGCCATGCATACCACGTGCGAACGCGGCCACATTGCACTACAAAAAAACTGTCCGAAATAAGAACTTGACCGAAAAACACTCGCTCAATTTCGAAGCGCCAGATGGTGCAAGAACTCGCCGTTGAGATGCACACCTGACCACGGGAGCCCCACCATTTGGCTCCCGGCCGTGTGTTTGTGGCGCGGGGGGTGAAGCCCCCAACAACGAAGCTCGCGAGGAGGGGTTGCCTCGACTAACCTACACACGCCGTGCGCGCCCAGAATGGCCTGCGAGTTCACTCTGCTCGTTCCTTTTCAAGAAACGCGGGTTCGACAGTTTGCTTGGTGGCGACAAGATCAATGCCACAAAGGAAGCCAACGCCAACATGATCGTTATTCCGAGGAGCATGCAGAAAGGAAGGCCCCCCATCCACGCACCGACAAGATTTTCGGGGAGAGACGAAAAAGGAACGACCGCAGAAACATCACCACCATCACCACTACTTTTCTACCACCGCACTGACAAGCTCCGTGTTTACAAAAAGCCATTTTTTGCCCAACAACTCCTTGCCGCCCGCCGCCATTCATTTACACGATTTCAAAGCACGGCATGCAAACGCCCCCGTTCTTCTGCTCACAGGCACCCCGGGCATCAGCGCCAACCACGGCACCCCCGTCGAAAACGCTGCGCCGTCGTGCCAACTCCTGCTCCAGCGACTCATCGCTGAACTCCGCCAAACACGCCGCAGTCCCCCGCCGCCCCTCTCCGATATCATCAGTCCCAGCCGTCCCCTGCACCCCAGAGTCGTCCTCCAGAGCGGCGGCAGCGGTTCTATCAGGGGATGCTGTAGCCCCATCCCCGGCTTTTCTCGTTTCCGTCGACGCCACCGCCGTCGTGGGGGCGGTGAGAGGGGACGATTCTGCTGCATCCCCGGGGTTTCGACCGCCGGCCTGGTCGCCTTTTTTTCTTCGAGTCGGCGGGCGGCTACGTCGCTCCAGTTGCCTCGCTGCAACCTGAACATGAAGAAGCGTGTTCAACAAGCGGGGGGTGGGGGGAAGCCCGTCAGCAAGTGGCCTTTTCATCTATAAGGTCATAGGGGACAGTATCTACACATACTCAGGATCAATGGGGGCGGCATATTCTTCAGAACAAAAACTACTGCGCCTTGACGAGCAGAATCACAGCGCCCAACAAAAAGTATGCATCGCGACTTGTGCTAGTCATGGAAACGCGCGTACAAAATTTTTCAGCACTCGCATACTCAAGATCTTGGTGACAACGTCACAGTTGGAACACCCTCATCCACGGCACGCTACCAACCCACTTTGTTTCCGTGCCCGGCATTCTAGTGAAACAAGGATACAACCGACACGGCGACTGCAACGGACCGACTATTTCTTCTGCCACGACAAATCTCGAATCGTGGCCTGTTCCCCCCTCCCTCTACGCTTGACTTGAGTTTCGTGGGAGATCGAACGTACAGCTCTCGAAATAACGTTAATTGTTTTTCGCCTGCCCTTATCGCTCCGTCCCGGTAGCGTTGGGATTCGAGGTCAACGGTCTACCATGGCATGCGGGCACATGAGTGCACCCCCTTCTCTTCCCGTACGTCCTCAAAGACGAGGGTGCATCTCAGGCTCCGTAATCGAACATGTGGTGTGTGGTACGGCTCAATCCCGCCACCCTCGTCTTCCTCCTCCCTCCAAAGGAAACCTCTGGATTGCCGACACACACGGACGTAGGAGCAGCAGACCTCGCGGAACGCTTCCCGCGTTCCCACGCGAGTGTTCAGAAGGGGGCCGCGGGGTATGAAAAACACACCCTTTTTTACCACATCTTGCTTGGCATTACACAGGGCACCATGGTTCTGAAAATAATGCCGTTTATACTTATATAGAACATCGAGGGCGACCCTACCGCCGTCACGTTCCCGGCCTTCCCTCTTTCACAAGCTGAAAATTAAAGAGGAAAACTGCATGCGGCAGATACGCCTTCGTAGGTTTTGGCATATGATGGAAACACATTGGACAAAGCATACAATCTTGGAATTTGGGTTGGGGTTGGGGTTGGGGAATAGGATCCGCGTCTCCTCTCCTGTTCTATTCTCTCAAAAACTTACTAATCGCGCGAAGGCGATCCGGCAGATACCACAATAGAAAATACAAGCTAACTACTGTACGTCAGATAATCCCCCCCCCTCCCCCCCCAAGGTCACCTCGGAGGAAGTCTTGTCCATGCTCGCGTAGACCTCGTCGTCCATGAGCGGCACCAACGCCTTCCTCAGGTTCGCGTACATGCTCGGAAACAGCGACTCTTCCTTCGCCAGCATCTGCGGCAACCGTGCACAAACCAAGAACCGGGCGGGCAAGGTTTTCAGGGGGGTTCAGTCCCAAGATATCCAGCGGGGGCGGGGGGGGGGGTGTACTCATAGTCGTGCATGCCGTAATCGTTAGACCATTGACCTCGCATCCCTACAAAGCCGGGACGGAGCACGCCGGGTTCTCACCGGACCAGGGGGGGGGGGGGGGGTACACACGAACACGTACGCCCTTGTCATTCGGCCGTAGACGTCGCATCCCTAATACGTAAACGCCGACACGGTGCACTCCGCGGGGATTCATTACGAAAGGATTTCATTGCACCCATGTACCATTTAGCGCAGGTTCCAATTAGGAGGAGTAAGTACGAGATCCAAGGCACTTCCTAAGGCGATGATCGTGGATGAAACTCTACTATGGGGCGGTGTGAACGCTGTGGTGGCCGGCAACAAAATCGCCTCGGGTAAAAAAACAAAAAAAATACTTCACGCCATGCCAGCAGTTCTATGTAGATGATCACGACGGGTGCGGCGGATCGAGGAAAGGGTGCTGGACGTTGTTCACGTCGACTTGCTATTGGTCTGACGGTACTAGTCCCGTTACCTCCCGTAGGCGCTTGTTCGGCTTTAGCGATGCAGCCGTTGCTAGAGTCTGTTCCTTGTGCGACATAGTCGGCGTAACTTCAGACACCTTGAAACAAGAGAAGAATAGACTACACACAGTGATAAGTTGATCGCACAGAAGACTTCACCTCCCTGAAGGCCTTCGCATCCCTCAAAAACACAGAAGAGAGGAAAACAACTACAATCTACCGTAGATAGAAAAAGCCGCTGGTCGCACAGAGCGCTTCACCTCCCTGAAGCCCTCCTCAACCCTCAAAAACACTCAGAAGAGAGAGAAGAGAGAGAAGAGAGAGAAAAACAACGATCATCTCTACGCAGAAAATGACAGGTAACGGTATGTGCGTACAACGGAATGTTGGGTAGGTCCGCTAGCCGGGGGCTGCTGTACAAGCAAGGCACAACAGGGCGTCGCTTCCCAGGCGGTAGGGACACCGCAGAAAATACACCTACATACCCCCCCCCACCTTCTTGACACGGTGCCGCTCTTTGGGCTCCTCGAAGCAGGCCGGGCAGTTCTCGTTCACCAGGGGAAGGCGGTTGGTCCTCGCGAAGTCCTTCGTCAGCGCCTCCCTAGCGTAGCACAGGGGCCGTATCACCCGGACGTCGCCGGCCTCGATCTTGTAGTTGGCCTTCATCGTGCGGACCTGATAACAAAAAACACGTCGCGGGTGAGTGCGTACGTATGCAGCAAGCGCACACGATCGTTGGTTTACTTCTACTCATAGAGGTAATGCGGGGACCTTGTGGTTGGCCTGAACATGGCGCGGACCTGAAAAAAAAAACGCAGCGAGCTCGTACGCACATACCTGTGCACCCAAGGCCGCCGGGGGAAGTGAGGGTGGTTGTTTATTTTCTGCATAGAGAACTCGGGGATCACGGTTATTGCGTCCACAGCGTCATCGCCACGGAAGCCGTCTGCTTCACGGATGGAACCACTTTGGATGAGCCACGGTCAATCGTTTTCCGCGGAACACTGCTGTGACGCATGCAAGCAGAATTTTCTTCCCAACCAACACACGCGCGGTGATGGGCGGCGTGCGTCGTGCTCTGCGAATGGCGACAAGGGTAGAGGTGGGCCCTTCACACGGCGGTGACGTCCCGTGTCTGTACCGCCCACTTATTTCTTTTTGACACTCCGCTACGAATCATCTCCAACGGTAGGGTTAACTCCGTCGCCGTTCGGTTTGCCAACCCGGCATAATGCACTACGTCTTCGAGCCGTCTGGCCTTGCACGGAATATTCCTTCGGCGGGGGACAAGCTCGGATGCTCAACGTGTGTCTTTCACCTCCGCTCGGTGGTTGCTACCCGCAAGGCGGCGGCCACTACTTCGCACGGGGCGACGGGAGCAGAAACAAACACCACCCACGCCACTCGCTTGCCAGCCCACGTAGGACGACTTCGCTGTTGTCACTCTCCCACCCGGACTCACATGCATACGTACTGGTAAGAAGCCGGCATCAGACGATTGGACTACTCAGCGCTGACTAGTCTTTAGGTTTGGCTTCAGAGTGAAAGTGACGTGTCGTTGGGACCGCACGACAAAAATTTGAAAACGCCTAGACAAACCGTGAGACAGGTAAAGCGCGGACTACCCGCATGGTCTGATTTCGGCTTCTACAGTGCTTCCATATCGTTGCTTCGCGCTGTCAAGCTCTATCTACCGATTGCTTCGGCAGCACAAAAAATCCGGGGATCCAACGGGTGCGTACCTACAAGCAGAGCCGGCGGCGATCGGTGGCAGGTGCAGGTCGCGAGTCTTACCCCCCCACAGCCGTCGAAGAGAGCAACAAACCTACAGCGCAACCCAGATTGACTTCGTCTTTCCTCCCACAAGCAAGCAGACAAAGCGACCTACATGCCCGTCTCGACGAAGCCCCTCACGGCCTAGACGTAATAGCAGTACTAAGTGGCAGACTGGTCCCTGTCGCCACACATGACATCACTTCCGCGCTAGGACAGTACCTGGCCGTTGTGCAGGGCGGACATGATGAAGCTCTCTGCGAGGTCGTCGAGGTGTTGGGCGAGGACGAGCTTGTTGTAGCCCTGCTCCCGGCAGCAAGCGTACAGCAGGCCGCGTTTCATCCTGCGACATCGTGTCGTCGTCCGATGCGAGTTGCGCGTACGGGCAACACGAGAGAGCCCCCAAGATGATTTGGTTTGGCAGGAGTGATAGCAGCAGCAGCAGCAGCAGCAGCCGCAAAAGCTACAGCTGGGATGGCGAATAGTCTGGCAGTTCGTGCCTTGAACGAAACCCTCATCGTCATCATCATCATCATCATCATCATCATCATCATCACCATCATCATCACAATCATAATCATCACAATCATAATCATCAGCATAATCATCATCATCATCAAGGATGACGGCTAATCTGTTAGTTCCAGCAGGGCCGGAGGTGGCGATTCCCCGAGGAGCAGGGTTGGAGGGGAGGGGGGGGAAGGGTGATCGTTCAACACTTTCTTACACCCATAGGGCATCTGAGAGACCCGGGCATTCGACTCCAGGTAGTCTAGAGCCTGCACGCTTTCGTGGTAAAGCAAGCTTCATTTGAAGTAGGCAGGCAGCCGCAGGGACCTTGGCTTGAGGTTGGTCGGAAGTCGAAACCGGTACGAAGGCAACGACCCTTGATGTTTACAACGACGCGGGAACGGGAGAGGATGGCCGCTGGCCACCCCCGAGGTCGGCCGAGATAAAATGTAATAGAGCATGGCGTTGCGAAGGGAGGACATGGCTACCGCCAACAAGAATTAAAATAGGGAAAACGACACAACAGGGTATACCCTGGTCGAAAAGCGACACACCTGGGTACACAGTCATTAACAGCAGTAAATGCACTCATATCATTGGTCAGCGCCCAATTTCACCCCGATGCGTCCGAAAAGGCGCAGGGTATACCCTACCGTGACTACTTTTCTCAGCAACTGTACCCTGTTTTCGGAGATGTACCCTGACCTGACGGGAAAAAAGACCCCTTCATCAATCATTTCCCCCGCGGGAATCTTCCCAACTCCTTTTCCCCTCCACCCATGGGATGTAAGCCGGTCGCCCCGGTGGTCTAGTTGGTAGCCTCGTAACCTTCTAGAGGTCAGGTCAGGGGTTTGAATCCCGGCGTAGGCGAGCTTTTCTTGCAAAGTGAGTTTTTCTCTCGCTTCCGTTCCTGGCCAAGTGGATAGCGCTAGTGCGTGTGTACACAGAGGGAAGAGAGTGCTGAACTCTTCTCCCATTAAAAATCGAAGGGAAAGTACCGTAGGAGGGGAGGGTAGAGAGAGGCTCTTCTGTGTGACCACGGGCTGATTTGAAGTGAAGAACAAAAAAAAAAAAAAAAAGGGATACCAAACGGCGAATCTTCCCGCCGAATAACAACCATGGCAACGGGGGGAATCAGTTTCGGCCCTGCGAAACAATACCAACCATCACCTCTTCCGCTCTATCAACAATGGCCGGGCAACACCCCAGCGTAGTTGTTCCGTTTGGAAACATGCACACATACATGCGTACAATACCCCGTGGACTACAGTAACTGCTTGCTGCAGTCTATGTGCGAGATACACGGGTCACGCTATGAAAGCAAGACCGATCCAGCATGGTTGACATGCATATGCATGTGTGCGGGCGTGTGTTGTCGGTTGTGTCTCAATTGCGATGTGCCGTGTGTGCGTGCGTGTGTTGTCTGTTGTGTCTCAATTGCGATGTGTTTCTTGCTTGAACTACTGCTGTAGCAGCAGCGGTCACGCTTACCAGCCAACCAAGCCGACCAATCAATCAATGTAGTAATAAGACGTCAGGCAAAAAGCGGGATGAGACGATAAAATACAACGCGAGCACTCTTTCTTCTTTCTACCGACAGGGAGGGTGATTGAGTTGGACGACACAGCAGTGTCCTGCTGCTAGAGTAAGGATAAGACTCGTGTGTGCGTGATTGATATGTCAAGGGCATATCTGTGTGTGCTGGTCCTGCCTCTCCCCTCTACCCTCTCTGCGAGCTCGCCGCCAGCACAGCGCCACACACTTGGCACACGCATATGCATGTCAACCATGCTGGATCGGTCTTGCTTTCATAGCGTGACCCGTGCATCTCGCACATAGACTGCATAGTTACTGTAGTAGTCCACGGGGTATTGTACGCATGTGTGCATGTTTCCAAACGGAACAACTACGCTGGGGTGTTGCCCGGCCATTGTTGATTTAGAGCGGAAGAGGTGATGGTTGGTGTTGTTTCGGAGGGCCGAAACTGATTCCTGCCCCGTTGCCATGGTTGTTATTCGGCGGGAAGATTCGCCGTTTGGTATCCCATGGGTGGAGGGGAAAAGGAGTTGGGAAGATTCCTGCAGGGGAAATGATTGATGAAAGGGTCTTTTTCCCCGTCAGGTCAGGGTACATCTCCGAAAACAGGGTACAGTTGCTGAGAAAAGTAGTCACGGTACGGTATACCCTGCGCCTTTTCGGACGCATCGGGGTGAAATTGGGCGCTGACCAATGATATGAGTGCATTTACTGCTGTTAATGACTGTGTACCCAGGTGTGTCGCTTTTCGACCAGGGTATACCCTGTTGTGTCGTTTTCCCATTAAAATATACGGAGTCATCCGGTACGTCGGGACCCACAGAAAAATCATATCGGCTGTTGTTTAGTGCAACGCCGACGATTCGCAGGCGTGAGAAGTCGGCAGCCTACCTGGCGCTCACGAGGAACAACACACGCCAGTTCGACATGCATACGATCATGTGACAGGTGAGCCGAAACAACGTCTCTGCGTGCGACACGCGGGCAAGCGAATTAATAGCCGTCCGCTGATTTGTTGAGAGGGAACGGATCGGGAAGAACGTGTATGGCGGCTACACGCTTGGTTCGTTTCCTCGCTCAGTAGAGCACACGCGACCGAAAAATGACACCGGTATTGTAGACAACTACGTATTTTTGGGATAGGGGGGCGTCATTGTGAGCGGCACAAGGGGGGAGGATTACCGATCTGGAATCTCAAAATCGTGCATGTACTGATAGTCTATCTCATCAATAGTCTATCTCATCATCGCATCACCGGTGGTAGCTGCGCCGGGAAATCAATGCCGTCATCCAGTTTCACAGCACCGGGCATCCCCAATGAATGATGGGGGCAAGCGGTATCCGGCAGTCGCGTGGTCGTCGACCGTCTCGAGTGCCGAGCCTGCCTCGTCGGCCTGATGGGAGATCACGCCAAGAGGAAACTGCAGGAACGAATAAGGCAACAAGACAAGAATCTGGTCTTCCTTGTCTTTTCTTCGTAAATTTACGTGCACTTTCCCCTTGGGGGTGATCTTCCATCAGGCCGATGAGCCAGGCTGCATTCGAAACGACACACGACTGCCGGATACCGCATACCCTCATCATGAGGGATGCCCGGTTCTGGATGACCGCATTGATTTCCCGGCGCAGCTACAACCACCGGTTGGGTGTGGCTATTTCATCGAGCGTTGGTCGAAGAGTAGCGCTAGTCCCTCACGAGAGAGGAGGTAACGTACAAGCCGAAAAAGCAATCTTGGGGTCGAAGTAACGCTCCCATCGTTGCCCTCTGTGGGACTTGTCTTCCACGTCCTTTCACGGGACTGTTCAACGCTCTCATCATCATCATCATCATCATCATCATCGTCATCATCGTCATCGTCATCATCATCATCGTCATCAGCAGCAGCAGCAGCAGCAGGAAGGATGCCGGCTAATCTGTTAGCTCGTGTCTTGAACGAAGCCCTTGTACGGCGGGAGCACGAGAGAGAGAGACGCCGCAGGTCTCTCTCGAACGCGCATCAGTTCATGGTGCGCGCACGAAGAAAAAAGCGACCACGACAATGGCCATCACTCAACATAACTACATATCATACCTCGCGCAGAAGGCACACAGGCTGTCTCCCTGCATGGACGTCTTGGCCTGCTCGATGATGGGCGAGCTGATGTAGTGCAGCTTCACCCCGAGGCGTTCGAGGTAGGGGATGAGGGGGGATGGGTCGAAGGACGGAGTCTGTGGGTCCACCGTAGCGCACGCCACCTCAAACCTGTAAAAAAGGCCAAGAGCATGAAAACCATGGTGTGTACGAGGAACGATAGTTCATACGAGTAGCTCGCGACGGCACGTATATATGCTACACAGGCAGGCGTTAGATCATTTGCCTTCGTAAAAAAAAAAAACGCGGTGGAAGCGAGGCTTCCACCAATGCCTCTAGCATGATCAAGGTTCCGCTCCTGGGTGGCACAACCTACACGCGTCAATCATCAACTTTCATGGTGTGCGAAAATGCATTCCTTTGTCTCGCCCGCGCGGTCGGACATTCAACAAGCCTGCGGCATCAAACATGTTCAACTGTGCCCAGTCCACGAGCGGCAACATATCGAGGGGAAAAAATGCTGCATACTTGCGCAGGTTCCATCGCCTGAGAGCTGTCTCAAGGAGCTTCCCGTGCACGACAACAAGTTCACTGGTGAAACACGGCGAAACACGGTAAGCGGAAAAGATGATGCGGTGGGAGCAAGGCCCGTATCTCGGTGGGTCTCTCACGTGATCGGGGCCCGCTTCTGGAGGTGGAGCAGGACGTGCAGCAGGGTCATGGAGTCCTTCCCCCCCGAGAGACCGAGGCAGAGCCTGTCCCCGTCCTCGATCATTCTCCACGCCTGGTTTCGGTTGCCGCCATGGAGCCAGACCAACAGAACCCGCCAAAATCGACAGCAGTGGCGCGCGGGGGCAGGTTCAGGTGTGTCTTCGCGAAGAAGCGGTTGTCAGCGTGGCACATTAACCACCACGATTCGTCCCATGAGAGACCGAAGACGCGTGTGGCACCCCGTTGTGCGGCGTCGGGCGAACAAGGCGCTCTCTCTCTCTCTCTCTCTCTCTCTCTCTCTCTCTCTCTCTCTGTCTCTCTCTTGCATTTTGGCCGCAAAAAAAAGGGCGGCATCTGCGTTCGTTGGAGGCCTTCCTTTCGGCGCAAGAGCGGCTGAATCGGCCGTCAAGCCAAAAAGACATGGCATGGCGGGGATTTGAGACTTTAGGAATTTGTATCCTTGTTGTACATATATTAAAAGCGTGCCGTTGAAAACGCGATAGCGTCAAGAGGACAGCAACAGCACTACCATTTTTCTTGGAATGACACGTTCAGTTGTTACAGTGGCAAGCGAAGAGACGGCGACTAGGAAGCAACCCAAACACGTTCATACCGGCGAGGCTGGCGTTAACAAATACTCTTTTTCTCAGGGCTTCAGAATCATCCCCCACCTGCACCGCTTGTCCTACGGCCCTCATGATTTTCTTCCCGGGTGTCGGAAACAGCCTAGACTCGGCCGACCCCGCCCCCAGCTTCCCCAGCGCGGACATGTGCCCCTCGTACCCCTTCAGCTTACCGCCGCCGCTTTCGATACCTTCGCCGTTGGCACCTTGCGGCACGCTACCGTTTTCGCCACCGCCGTTGCCGGTGCCACCGGCGACTGCGGCGCTACCGGTGCCGTTCGCGGCGGGAGAAGATGCTAGGAACGCGGGCGTCTCCGCTGCCAGCGAAAGACCGCCTGTCTGGCCGCCGCCGCTGTCGCGGTTGGCTTGTCGAAGAGGGTACTTGTGGCTGTCGTCCGGCTGCCTGTTCCGGTGCTTGGCGGGGTTGCTATCGCCGCCGATGTCGGTCCGCGGAGATGCAGCATCACCATTATCATTCCCAGCAGCAGAACCAGCAGCAGCCGCAGCGGCAGCCGCAGCAGTAGCAGCAACAGTAGTAGCAGACTCATCTTCAGCATGTTGCTCTTCCCCGTTACCTCCCGGAGGAGAAGGACGCGGGGGGACCGGCTCGACGGCCCCAACCGCCGCCGCCGCCCCGTCGCCGTCACCGCTGCCATTGGTGCCACCCTCGTGCGGAGGAGGCGGAACCACCCCTGTTCCTCTCTCTGCCGCGGCCGCCGCCTTGACAAAAACCGGATCGCTCCGTGCCGCTGCCTTACGTCCGTTCTCTTGGCCTACCCGGGCAGCCCCTGGAGTTGCCGCCGTTGCTACGGCCTCGCCGCTACGGCCCCCATCTTCTTCGAGCGAAGCGCCAGACACCGTCGCCCCCGCCGCCGCGTCAGCGGCAACGCTGCCGTACACCTTGGGCTTGACGATGCACCCTCTGCTCTCTAGTGTTGTTGCGCCGCCGTCGGAAAAGGGGACGCCACCGTTGCCGCCTTCCCAGGGGTATAGAAACCAGCGGAGTGCTTCGCCTTCGGGCCCGAGTACGTCGTCCGACCTGGTAGACACGAAATCATTGTCGAAAAAAAGTGAAACCGATACAACAAAAAAGTTTTACAATAGCCAAAATGAAACGGAAAATCGTGCTTCTCGGAACAAAGAAACCGTGAGGCCAAAAAAAGGAACGGTTCCGGCACAATTTAGATAGCATTCTTTGCCAAGAGACAACTCGAACAATGACACCAGAATCAAACGCCAACGTTTTGCCAGAACGGCATCAAAACCATGTAATCGTGGTGTTGGCAGTAGCGGTTCATGCGGGGACGACCCCATAAAAAGGTTAGGTGTGAACCGCCCCCACATCTCTCGTCGTCCGCGACTCAAGATGCCGATATGGGGAGATAAGAATGATCAACGCAAAGCTCGGCGGGAACAGTTCACGGGTCGGGTGCGTGCTTTCTCACTTAATCTCCATCTCCATCTCCGCCTCCCTCTCCCGTGCAACTTCTCCCTCCGGAACCTCCCCCGTGCGGGAAAAAAAAATAACCCTATCGAGAGAAAACCAGCAACCTTATCTCAACAGACTGCGGTGCCTTCCCCACATCGAGACGCTTACTTACCCTTGCCACCTCTCTTCGCCGACGCGGGCCTCCGCCTCTTTCAGGTGCCGTTCCGCGTCCTCGAACACGCCTTCCATCTCCATCTCCATCTCCGCCTCCCTCTCCCGTGCAGCTTCTCCCTCCTGCTCCTCCTCCTCCTCAGTCGCCGCCGCCGACGGCCTCTTCGGCGTCACCGCAAGGGTTGCGGCGACACCGCTGCCGTTTGAGACAGTCCCTCTCCTGGGAGCGAACCCGTAGTCGCAGTTCCCCAGCCATCTGGGGATCGTGTGTGCGTGGGGCGATGTAAGCAAACGAGGATGCGGGAGCTTTCACAGGGCAAGGTTTTCTCCGTCTTGCTTTTTATCATGGTGGGTGGCAAGCGCAGAGTCGGTTTTCGGCTAGGATTGGAGAGGAAGAAGCACCGAATACGATAACAACAGCACCAGCACCAGCACCAGCACCAGCACCAGAACAAACCTCCTCTCAGGGAAGCGGGTGAACCTCGTCTTGTGCTTCCACTCCCCGGTCTTGTAGTTGACACGGTAATACGGCAGGAAAGACGCCCCATGGTCGGCCACGAACAACACCGCATCCAGAATGTACTTTGCCTGTGGAAGGAAGGAACCGAGTGGAAAAAAAGGTTCTTGCGTCGCAGCGACAACAACGACATGTACTGTGTCCACAGCTAGAGTGTCGGAGAGGAGCAGCACCCAACGATTGTACCAGCAACAATCGAACCGCGCTTCCTTCCTTTTCCTCTAATAATAGTGGTACTTGCTTGCGCTCCTTTCCTTTCTTTTCTTTCTCGCAAAAACCAAACTTGTTTTTGTTGGGTCACCTCTCTGTCGGAGTTGACGAACGACAGGCTGAGCCTCGAGAACCCCGGCCGCAGCAGCTCGTGCTTGCGCAGCAGCTCCGCCTCCACGGCCCGCGTGTCCGGGAGGGACAGCCCCAGCAGCAGCTGGCTGTAGGGACCCGCGCACTGGCAACCCCCCCTCGACTGGACGCCGAACAGGTCGTTCAGGAGCGCGCACACAAAGTTGTAATGGAGGAACCTACTTTGGCGTAGATAGAGCACGCAAGAGGTTGGTTGCGGGGGAAATGAGCGCCGTGACTTTTTGCGCGGCCAGCACGCATGTGCGCGTGAGGGATGGGAGGGGGTGTGTGCAGATTCACGGACCGTGCGAGTCGTAAGTTTTCTGTCACGAAAAACCTTGCGCCTCTACCACGCTGGCACGGGGGGAGGACGGCGGGGTTCCGCCAAATAGGCCCTGGTAGCACGTGCGTCAAGGGAGGGTACACTATCCTAAAGGAGGAGGGTGTGTGTCAAAATGTGCCAGAGGCTTCATCATGCCAAACACATGTTAAAAACGATCTTGATAACTCCTTGTGTCGAGAAGGACGTTTGAGCGCGGGCGGGGGGGGGGGGGTGCAGTGGTGCCTGAAGCGGGCCAATCAAGAGCCTGTTGGTGGAGGAACAAGGAGGAACCTTGATTGATGGGCAGCAAGGAGGGAGCGGAAAAGGGCCGGGTATTGCGTTTTTGATGTAGCTGCAAAAGCGCATCCCAGACAAAAATATGCGCCCAACAGCAGTCGAGCGGGGGGGGGGGGGTTGGTTCGCACCTGCCACTGCTGCTAGCTGTCCTGACGAGGAACGAGAATATGGGGAGGCGTTTCTTGCCCGAGTCCCCAAGGACGACGATACCCTTGTGCGCCCGCAGGGTACTCAGGCCGAGCTCCGCCAGCGCTTCCTCCCGCCCCTTGAGAGTCAAAATACGACAGGAGTGTTGCGTGTCAATGGCAGCAGCAGCAGCAACACCAACACCAGCAATCGTAACGACGAGGGTGGTGGGTAGTGTTCCGTACAAAATCATGATATTTTACTCCTTACGAAATATTCGAAATAGTACAATAGTGCGCGAAATACGTGCGTGTCATGAGCTGAGTTTTGCGAGGGTGCACGGCACCCCGTACTTTTTAGCTCTCGGGCTTCTAGGGGTGCCACACGCAGGCCGACAGGCAGGTGCATGCCATGGAGTTTCACCGACAAGGCGAGACGACAAGACCGCAATATTGACGCCCTGCTTCTTCTCAACCCCGAGGGTGTCTTTCGTGGAGATAGATCTTGGACGTTTCACGAGTACAAGCACGATTAAGTGTGTCCGCATAAGACGAGACGACTACGTTAGCGAAGCTCTGTTTCTTGTCGACGTCACGGGCGTCCGTGGAGATAGACCGTGGACCTCTGTTAAGGTGGCGTTTCGCCGGTGCAAGCACGATTGAGCGGTGTCCGCCAATCGGGTATTCCAAAGGATTCCTGCAGGACGAGCGTTGCAAGTTGCTTCTGCGTTTGGGTCCATGGGGGTGGCTTTCTCCCCCCCGATTCGGGGTCCGCGTTGCCAAATACATTGACGGGCGCCTCGAGCAACATCTGCGGCTACCGCCGGGTTGCTTATTTCTTGAAACCCCCCCCGCTTGGGGCAGCACGCTAACCACGCCAACTTTTCTTGCCTGCAGCCCCCGCCTGCCCATGCTCTCCTTCATCTGAACCGCAAGCCCCAGGCGAATAGAGCCCAGGATGTCCGGGGTCCCACCCTCTTCCCGTTCCTCCTTATTGCTGGAGGGGAACAGTTAAAAGGGGAAATGAATACCCACCGACCGTAAGCCGACAACAAATCAGACGATAAGAAACAGATCAGCGTGGCGTAACTATCCGCATGCCGTAAGAGAACGTCCGCGCAACACAGCTTCAAACGACATGAAAACAAAGCATCGACAACAACCACAAAATAAGAGGCTTACAATCGGTAACCGAGTGCAAGCGGGGCCAAGCCCGTGAAAAAGAAAGGAAAAGTCTGGAGTGTACATACATGTAGTGAACATGAGGATTGCCATCCACATCTCCTGGACAGTCGTTTAGGGGGGAGATTGGGGGTGCGATATCTTGCTGCAGTCTGGCACCTTGGTGCTGTTTCCACCGATCCTAGCAGTGCATTGTTTCAGCAAAGCAGTGAATATCGTTTCATAAATCTCCTGAAACAACGTCAGCCTTGGCAACAAGCCCTCCCTCCAAGCGGATCCGTCAAGTACCAAAAAAAAAAAAAAACGCACCTAAGGTAGCGGTGGTCCTTCTCCGTCACGAAGAACACGGTGCCGCCGCCGACGGTGCCCGGGACGGCGTTGCAGAGGAGGCGTTTCTTCACCACGAGCACCCCGGGGGTGCCCGGCCCCCCCACGAACTTGTGCCCGGAGAAAAATATGGCGTCCTTAGCCACCAAGGCCTGTACTTTGTTTTGGTTTGATTCGACAACAACGATGGGCGTTGAAAAAAAAATGCGTACGCGGCGGAAGGTCATCTCTAGTAGGGAGGTTGCGAGGGGTGGATGTGTGCGCGGACAGCGCCAGATAGTTTAGAGAGGCGTGTTATGTGGGAGGGGCGCGGGGGGCGTCCTCATGGCTTGCATGCCCTAGCTGTTAGACCATTGGCCACGCGTCCTCGCCATGGGGCATTGTTCCCACAGGACCGACCACCGATGGCCAATCGTTTCTTTTTATTGGCAGGGAGGGGGGAGGGGTGCGCGGGGTATTTGTGTGCCTCCTCCCTTCTACCTCAGACGGCAGCGTTGGAAGACAAAAAAAACGTCGATGAAACAAGCAACAAGCAGTAGTCTTTCTTTCTTCTACCTGGTCGTCCTCGAGGCCAGAGGCGGAAGGGTTCATGTCCACGTGCACGTAGGGGGCGGCGGTGGCGTAGTCCCAGAGTGCCAACGCCCCCGCCCGGTGCAGGGTGGCCGTCACCTTGTCCACATCTTCCAGGAGGCCGGTAACGTTGGAGGCCGCGGAGAACGCGCCTGAGAACGGTTCCGATGGCGTCGTCGTCGTCGTTGTTGTTGTTGTTGCTATTGTTGTCTTCACAATAAAAGCAGTTCCGCTCTCCGCTCAGAGGGTACCTTAAGAATATCCGCACTGGTCCAACTGAGCGGACGCCTTCCGTGGCCACAGGCCGTGCAAACGGTGGGTGCCCTTTTTCTAATGCTGTGGAAAAGAGAAAATGGGAGGAATGATCCTGTACACGCTCCATTGCGTTTCACGAGGCGCATCGATCATCAGTCATTTCCTCATTCCATCAGCGAATCACGACCTCACACCCTCGCTGGCCACACACCAATCTTCTCCTCGCGTCGAGACGCAGAGACAGCGCATATTCCGTTGGTAACATGCACAGCACACCGGTAGCAAAACCCAAACCATCACGGCGGGTGCCCCAAGCCCGAAGAGAAAAATGACGAAACCTTGACTTCGAAAGCATGAACGTACACACGTGGAATAAACTCATGAAAATATGTGTGCGCGTCCCCAGCGGGAGGGAGGGAGAGAGAGAGAGAGAAGATATTGCGTTCGCACGTACACACCCACGTGAACGTGCACGAATGCTGCATACAAAAATGTCATCGTCCTACGTATCTGGCCACACCACACCTGTCATACACACACACCTATTTTCAGTCTCCGGCTCGCGAACCGCCGAAGCTGTTCCTCCAAGTGGGCGAGATCGACCCCTCCCGAAGAAGGGTTCTCCCGAACCGTCACCACCTCCCCGCAGCTTTCCCTCCAGGGGAGCAGGTTAGAGTGGTGCTCCAAGGGGCCCACGAATATCACTGGCCTATTCGAGAAACAGCGGAGGGAGCGACGGGGATTGGTTGGGGGTCCAGGAAAGAAAAACACGGGGGGGGGGGGGCATAATGAACTGGTGCGAGGGGTGGATAACACGTGGCACAGGCTGTAGTAGACCTGCGTCCTCTGCTCTTGCTTTGGGTCTTACCGATCGTCGGGGTTCCAACCAGGGGGGAGCGGGACCGCGAGTCCGAGCGCAGACACGAGCTTGGCCACCGCAGCCGTGGCTCCCGTCCCGGTGAAGAGAACCACGTCTTCCGCTGCCCGCCCAGTCACCTAAACGGCAGAAGTTTTCACAAGAGGAGGAAGGGGATCGTATTGATGTTAAACCAGTTGTAAGAGAGATCTCGATGAGAGGGTCGCAGCAATCCACGCGGTAAGATATTTTACCCGAAGTTTGATGCAGAAAAGGCAGGAAAAATACGACGAACCACGCAAGGGTAAAACTAGGCGGGTGTCACCGACAGGGATGACGAAGAATGCCCTTTCGTCAGCGGTGAGTCGCCCACACACCTTTGCGTTGACTGCTTGAGCGATGATCTGCCTGGCTTCGTGCCGGAAGCAGCTGGTCTGCGCTCCCGTGATCGAAGTGGCCGTGTGGGTGTTCCCGAACAGCGGCACCACCCGGTCCGCTAGATACGTCTGCAGCCGCAGCAGCCGCAGCAGCCCCAGCACCGGCGAAGGATAGTCCGGGTGGGTCAAGGTAAATTAACCATGCTCGAGAACAATCCATGTTTGATGCGTACGCCCGCTGTTTTGAAAATGTGTTGGCACATGAAGGTTTTTGAGGTACATGATGGTTATTCCATAACCTCATCGACCAAAATGTTGTGTTGCGATATATACAGCGCCAGCACCCAGACAGCATAACATCTTCAAATAACCCCCAAATCTTTCGTGCAAACTTACACCCCGAAATAGATCGTCCCCACCCCGAAATAGATCCTCGTCACTCTCCCGCCCACAGGGCTTGTTCTGGGGGTAACGCCACTACGTGCCCTCTGGCAGCCACGGTTGAGGGTATTCTACTGGGGTATATATGGTACTGACGACGTCGAACTTTCCAGCCAACACTGGTGTGGTTGGAAGATCAGCAACCACCGTTTCCAAACAAAGACACACACATGATGCGGGACGCAGCAGAAGGTTGCTGTAATAGCTGGCGAACCTCGACGACATGGACGATGGACTATCCAGGCGCCGCTCTAGTCTCTCCGCAGATAAACCAAACAAGACACAGCAGCTGGCACTGAATGATAGGGCACTCTGTCGTTGGGAACCTATTACGCGCCCAGCAGTACCGAACGCAGTTGTGACACCCCTTTGAGGGCTGGCCGATGGCTACGGTGCTCGGCACAGGACATGAAAACAGAGCCCAGTGGTGCAGTTGGAGGGCCCGCAGCTGCCGCAACGTCACCCAAAGTGCAATGGCTTGGACAACCATTCCATCAAGAGCTTCAAACCATATGATGTCGTGCTCTGCGCGCACCGGAGCAACTGCCGAGGACATTGCGTATTGTTGTGTGCCTCGTATGTACGCTGATGTCCATACCTCGATGGACGCAACCGCTCGACCGGTGGCTGTCCAGTCGGAGTACACGAGAGGCTTCATCCCGTATGGCGTTCGAAACGGCGTGTTCCTGCCCAGCAGACCTCGGCGTACGCTCGCAGCAGCACCCTCAAAGCTCTTTGATGCTGCATCTGTTGCTGTACTTTCCCTGCCCCCTCCTTGGCTCCTCGAATCACCCGGCACGCTGGCGGTTGTCTGTGCTGCAGGTGTTGCTGCCAATGTTGCTGGCCGGGGTGCACCATCTTCAAACAAGTCGATGAAGCTGCGGTGAGCGTCCTGCGTTGGCCCAGACGAAAGGTCATCAACCTGACATGGTTCCAGGGTACTGGTCTCAGCAGCGGTGGAGAGCATAGCGTACCCTCTGCTGGACAGCACGGAAGCTGGCTGTGCTGGGTGCTTGCTAGCGTGTCACCGCAACCGAGCAGTTTGATCGGGGGGCCCGCAAGCTGCTCTGGTTCGTTGGGTAGGATCAGATGCGGTTCGCGACCGAACCAATCCCGACACGTAGTCACACCGCATTTTAACAGACCGCCGTGTGGAAGAGATACTGTTTGAGGTTGTGTCTTCATGTCTTCTTGCGGAGGGGTGGTGCGTGAAGACGGTGTTGACATGAAAGCAATAAGTAAGGACAGGCAGCGATTCACCCGATGTGCAAGAGAGTATGACAGGCACGATGAAGCTCTGCACACACAATCGATCCTGAGTGTCGTCGGAGTGAGTGCATGCCTACATACAGCAGTAGTAACTCTGTTGCATCACACGACGTTCAATGTTCTGTTGCATCACACGACGTTCAATGTCAACAAAGGATGAACGCGCCGTCCACGGCCGCACGATCCAGGAGTGATACCCTCCGAGAAAAGAGATACTTCGTATGTTGTGTGAGCCGTGTCTTGTCATGCGGAGGGGTGTGGAGGATGACGACGGTGTTGACATGAAATCGGTAAGTAAGGACAGACAACGATTCAACCGAGCACGCATAATCAATCTTGAGTGTCGTCGGAGTGAGCATGCCTACAACAAGTAAATCTGGTTGCATCACACAGCGTTCAGTGTCAGCAAAGGATGAACGCGCCGTCCACGGGCTCACAATCAAGGAACGATACCCTCCGAGCAACGTCCCTTAAAATCATTGGAATATAGGTTCCCGAGCCGTTCAACACCCATCTCGCATCGACAGGGAGGGGTGACAGCTTGCCGTTCTCTGCAGCAAAGGCCTCTTGTTAATGTAGGGGAACGCTTTTCACCAAAGCTGCCACAGGGCTCGGGGGAGAATGGCTTCTCCCTGGTCGTCGAGGTCTAGCATTTGCTTCGACACACCGAAAAGCCGAGTCATTCACTCTGTTCGGTGTGCGTGTTCGCAATATTGCACCGCCGTTCCAGGATGTTGCTATCTGGCGTGCTGTCTTTGTTTCTGCATATATATTCAGGCGCACCTAGACGCCCTTGCCTGCAATCATCGTTGCTGCCCACCATTTTTTTTGGTAGACGAGGGTGACGTTCGTATCGTTCGTGGAGGAGCCGTTGGACGTTCAATAAAGTGATGGATAGGAGACACAGCCTCAGATCACTCAGCAGTCGACTACACACAAGGGGGAAAGGGGCTGCACCGTCATTCACCATCTTCTCAGCTGAGAATTCAAATCAGTCGGGGTCCCTCTATAGTGCGTGTATGTGCCAAGCGGAATGGCCCACACTATAGTGGGCACCCGCACTATGTGATTTCGCGCCTGAATAGTGCGGGAAAGCGCACTTCAGGATCCTCAGAACCCTGTACAGTGCGGGAGGCGCACTATTCGCGATATCACTAGGATACGGTACTGTACGGGTTGTGTAAGCCAACAACAAGGGGAATGAAGGTAGCACAGCGGTAGTGTGCGCAACAAGTGAGGGAACAGAATAAGATGTCAAATTTCTAGGGTAAACGCCTGCGTTCGTTCGTGGGTGAGACTAGAACACACTGCGCAGCGGTAAAACGACATCTGTCCACGATAGAACAGATCACACCATACACTGGATCCATGACATGTAGTGCAGAGTATGCTGAGTGAAAAAGTTGTGTCTCAGCCCGTGTTGTTGCCCCAATCCATTGTGCGTTGACTCCCCTTAAATATTATTAAATTATTGAGAGGACAATGTCTACGAGCCAAATGGAACACGTCCGCATCCATCCTCACACACAACCGAGGAACGTCTTCGAAAAATAACCTTCAAAACCACTCCAGAGTAACCCACAGATGCGAAAAGCAAAGGGGGGAACACTCCAAAAGCAAAGACGACACAGGCAAAGACTCTGCTTCTCAGTTTCTTTCACAAAACGTCACTACGCAAAGCAACACCATTTTTTCGGGGGCTACTGTAGGTGGGGTGAACGCACGAAGAAAAAAAAACTGACGAACACCCGCAATAAACTGACCCACATTCCACACACGATACAAAAAAACACATTCGATACAAAAAAACAAAAAACGAAGAAATGTCAGAACCCGTACTATCGAGGGTCTGGAGAGGGATCAAACCCGCACTATAGAGGGGTTCAAGTTGTGCCAAGCGATTCCACCCGCACTATAGCGGGCACCCGCACTATATAACCCGCACTGTAGAGGGACCCCGACTGTAAGCTGGTCACCCATCGTGTGCACCCTCTCTCCTCGAAGATGATCGTGAATCATGGCGTGTGCTCTACGAAAAAGGTATTGCTTCTGTTTGTGAATGATAAACAGCCATTCACGGTGATACCGTATACAACGAAAACTGCACCCAACTAAACGTTGCTCTAATCTTTCAACATCCCATACAACAGTACCATTATAACCACGAACGTACAAACTTCAATACGAAATTTTAAGTACTACGAGTCGTCAGAATCCGCAACGAAAGCGAGGATACGCACAAAGAGCGTATCCAAAATGAGTAACACGACTCTCGCCCCTACACAAGTTTGCTCTAACGATCTTGTCCGACATCACCAGTCACGAAAACACACAGTTAGTTGACCTTTGCGGCAAGAGCGAGATGGCCCTAACGAACATCCGCTAATACTGCTACAACACTTCAAACGAACGATGACAAAGCGATACATCCAACTCACCATCTAGGGCCAACCGCAGACGGTGCTCAAAGGGACCACGGAACCGAACCAAGCGCCCGGCATTAATGGCAAACAGACCAACTATCGGCGCGTTCATGTTCACGGAGTTCCAAGAAATCTTTAAAGCCCTGGATGAAACGATAAAAATAACTCAGGATGAAGCGGGACCACCGAGAGCGGGCGACGACGTCTTTGGACCTCACTCGGTTGAAAACCTCGAAAATGTGAAAGAGTTTCACACAGGCTACCCTGACCATTATTGCCAGCAGAGTCACCGAAAACACTAGCATCAACCCGCGCCAGGTTCTCTCGCAACGGATTCGGAAGGCCACGATAGTGACGACAAGAACCACCGCCAGAATTCCTACAAAGCTTTCGTGGTGTCCTAACACTGTGAAAGAGCACAGCAGGAGGAGAGTCCACGCGGCCACGCAACAGACGCAACGCAAGCACTCGAAAGCCTTGTCGGCCCACGTGGTGGAACCGCTACTTCCATTGTCTTGCGCCGATGTGACAGCCTCACGCACAGTTTGTTGCATGAGGTGCGTGGTGCACACACTCGTCGCCGACGCCTTCAGCAGGAACACCAGCCATTCCGTGCAATCCTCTGGCCACGAGCATACTGTGCGGTACGTGACCCAGAGCAGGAGGGTGGGCAGTAGGACGGGAGACCATACACGCCGCATTGGCCCTGAAGTGAACCAAGTAACGACACCTTGCAGAGAAACGTCTTGAGTCGAGCAGGGTGTTTCCTGCGTCTCTGGCCGCCCCTCGCGGAGCGCCAGGCGCATTTCTTGGAAAGCGGTCCACGCAGCCCCGGCTATCTCAAGCCCGAGTAATAATCCACCGCCTGGAGGCGTCACGGAGAAAAGGCACAGGAGAGCATCGAGAGGGGCAAAGACATCGTTTGATCGGTGTTATGGTGCATGCAGCGTTACAGATGGGGCCTGCAATTAAGAAAAATCTGTCAAGAAAAAAAGGCTCAAATTTTAATGGAAAAAAAGAAAAAAGGGCTAAGAAACACAGCTCAATTTCGGCCGTAACATAAGAAACGCCCCAATCATAAGACACATGATCGATCGTGCGATACCCAGACAAAAGGAACAAAGGGTACAAGTTGGGGGGGGGCGTGTCCATTAAGAAACGCCCCACTGCTGCTGCTGCTGCCATGCTCCCATCTCCTACCTAGCTCATGTCATGTTACTTTATGGTAAGGGGGAGAAGGTTATTTTCGTGGCGCCCCTCGTGCCCCAGCGCCGTCGCGGGCTGCGCCACCCACTGCTGCTGTACTGCCACAACCCCCAATGTTCGCCACACCGAGCTGTTGCTTTACTTGTGCATGACAGATTGGTGTGTTTTTGTTTTCTTCGCCAGAAATATAAACAAAATATAAAATCACCAGGATTCGACAGCCCAAAGGAATAAGAAACCCGTTTTAAGAAGTTGGACGACTTCGGCTGGTCCTTCTGCCTAGAATAAGAAATTGAGGCTCGACCCATTTTTGACGTTTGTTTTCTCCGGGCCCTATCTGTATACAGTCTATCTCGGTAGCCTGCACTGTACGTCAAACAGGAGTGGTCTGTGCCGAATAACTTCTACATGCAGTCCAGAACACGTGGGTGTCACCACGACGACACAGGACGTCCCAGAAGTTGATGGTGTTCTTCTCAGGATAACCTCTTTCGGCCCCATCACACGTGCTGAACACACGTGCTGATCATGCGTAAGGTTGTTTTAACTCAGTCATGCTGCAGAACACGTCGTTTCAACTTTCGCCACTTTTACAACATCGACTGGCCCTAATAGTCCCTCCTGCTCGTTTCACGGCGAACACAACAGTACCAACCCACCTGTCACGAAGGTGGCCGCAGTAGACAGCAAGACGCCAACGGCGGTGGGGATGCACTTTTTAACGGCTTTCCAAATCCGCTTCCGAAAAGGAAGGCTGTGACCACCATCACTGCCCTGGGCTGGCCGAGGAGATACCCCGCCTTCCGGTTGGTGACCGCCGAGAAGCGGTGCAACCTGATAAACGAGGAAGCCACAGGAAAGCACAGCGAGAGAAGACCGGAGGTCCCCTATTCTGCTCCACACGCCCTGCGTGACTACCACCACTACTATTACGAAGGACGCCATGTACCTGCCAGGGAGAGCCGAGTGAGATAGGTCGGTCGGGGGTGATTAACTCGAAGTATCGGACATGTTCTTGGCATTTTCTTGGCTTCGGAAATAGGTTTGATATATGAACTTGCGACAGCGAGGCTTTCCACCAAAACTGCTGTACAACGTTCCTGTTTTCGGAAAACCAGCGCACGCCATCCCATACGGGTCAGCTTGGGGCCCAAGGGCGAAAGCGACGGGCGGAATTTGACCTCTCTCCCCGAGAAAAGCAATTCCACTTGCGGACTGGTGGCTTCTGTGGCAGGCACGCAGACGATTGAGCAGCGGTGGCGATATTTTCTGGAAACAGAGAGAGCAGCAGCGCAAACTCACGTGGAAGCGTCGGCCCTGAAGTGAGCGACAGCCGGGTGCACGCCCCCAAACCTTTTGATGGCACTTTCGGCGGCTTCGACCAAGACCACTCCACCAATGTAGCACAGCAGCACGAGGAGCACTCGATCATCGTGGGGCCATTCTACCACGAAAAAAGAGAACAGGCAGTAGAGGCCAAGCAGCACAGCACCGCTAACGGCAAGAGGAAGAAGCCATTGCAATAGCGGTTTAAGTTGCTGTCGCTGATTGTTTTGCGCCGCTGAGACCTTTGCTTTTTTCCCGTGCCACGGCCATGACTGACGTTTCGAGGGCTGGGGGGGTACGTCGGGAACAACGGCATGTTGATGGAGAATAAGTCACACCGCATACAAAAAATCAATCCAATTTTTGCGTGAATGAAAAGGAAGAAATTCCCGCCCACGATGAGCTTCGGCAGCTGGGAGAAATCCGACTGTGCAGCCTTGCTGCGATGTTTCCGCCCACTTCATATCTCGATCCGGGGCAGTGTCACAGGCTCACAGCACGTCTTCTCTCCTAAGCAAAACCGCAAAACATTAGCAAAGTCTCTGGTCTTCTTCGAAGAACCTACCTAGCCACGGGCGGCCTATGGCTATGTGACTGACACCCAGGCGTTAAACAGTGTGAAATGATGGAGGAGGGTAAAAAAAGGCGAGTCACAACGTGTGGAGCAAGTGGGTTACCTGCTTTGAGACGACTGGTCTGCTTCGAATGCGAGTATGCACTACTATGTAAAAGGCTGCACAGCGGGGGCACAGCGGTACGTGCGGCGAGGGGAGTAACCAGAGTTGCAGGCCTACTTGTAGTCTCCTCGTACATCTGTTGATGTCGGGGAATGGGGATCAACTTATTTCGCTTGCTTCGAGTTATCGAACTTCGAATACGTATCTAGGTGACCGTACGAAGAGAGGGAAGCCGTTGCCGGCAACTTAACAGACTGCTCTACGCATGACATAGTGACAACACCGCAACTGTGCAAAAGGTGGTACAGGGAGAGTGCAATCGGGTTAGCTTTTTCTTGGCAAATCAGTACGACCTCTCCGACCAGTACTATCTCTGATCCCGATGCGGAAATATAATCGCTTCTGTCGTAGCTTGCAGGGCACGCCGGTGGTGCGATCTCTCAGATGATTGGGATTGTCGAATACATATACACGCCGGCAGTACGTACTGCGGTGCTGAGTGGTGCCATCTCTCCGATCTCGGTCCGGAAATACAACCAAATCAGCTGAATCATGCCGTTCTTGCTTTTTCTTTCATGCGCACCACGGTCCTAGGTGGGTATCGCTCTCCCTGCTCTGCCCCCCCCCCTTCTTGCCGTCCCCAACCCACCTGTGAGCAAGCCGCTGTTGATCCGTTCCGCGGCATCGGAGGACGAGCTTGAAGGACCACCAGATCCGAACGCAATAATCCCCATTTTGGGCGGGGAATTGTGAGAGTGAGGTGTGTGGCGCAGGCGCGCGAACAGAGCGGGCGCTTTCGTGTTTCCGCGGGTCGTTCCGTCCTACCGGCGGGCCGTTCTTCGTGGCAAGCACTGCTCTCTTCGTCCAACTCCTCTGTTCTTTGTTTCAGATAGCAATTGTAAGCAGGTCCAAGTCACAGAAAATTATCTTGCGTGCTCATGTGTCGGCAGCTTGCCAGCCAGGTGAACAGCAGTAGTTGTGGATCTCTATTTTTTATTCTTTTCTTAGGCCCATGTTTATGGTTTCCAAATCTTTATCTTCCTTTCTTTGGACAAATGTTGACTTTTTCGACCTTTTGGGCAGTCTGCCTCCCGAACGAATGCGAATCAGCTGTCTGTTCGACCTTTGAGAATAGTCACAGCTTTGGCTGAGATGTCTACAGATCGCCTATTTATTTCGCCAGGGCCCACGTTTGATTTTTTCAAGATGCACAATTTTCAATCAAGATTTTTCCAACACCAGAGCTTTTGGACAGATCTTGGCCCAACATTTGCTCCGAGGTGGTCTTTGGGCCGAATCTTGCACATCTTGAACTGCTGGAAAAAAATCAAACGTGGACCCTGGCAAAACAAATAGGCGGCCTGTATACATCTCGGGCAAAGCTGTGACTATTCTCAAGGTCGAACAGCTGATTCGCATTCATTCGGGAGGCAGACTGCCCAAAAGGTCGAAAAAGTCAGCATTTGTCCAAAGAAATGAAGATGATAAAGATTTGGAAACCATAAACAAACATGGGTCTCATTATTTATTTTTTCCTGTGGATAGAACGGAGCTGGGTGATTCTGTCAGCGCACAACAGAGCAGAGTGGGGAGTAATAGGCGTTGCGCTGATGGGGTGCCGCAGCTTTCTGGCCGTAATCGGAAGGACCATCACCTGGTGAAGAAAAGCCGTTTTGTTGTGCGGCTCTACGCAACACTCTCTCTCCTGTTGTGCCGCAACACCTCAACAGTTTTTCGCCGAAGGTCGAAGGTCCGAAGTCAGAAGTTCGAAGGTAAAAAAAATGTTGCGCCTACAGCAGTACAATATATTCTGCTCCCGGAAATCCGTGAACTGCTGTACTGTAGCCCACGCCTCAGTCCATGCCTCAGCCCATGCGGGGGCTGCAATGCCGCTCTCCGCTCCCGGCGTATTGTTGCGCAAACTTGTGTTTTCCTCAACACTGGGCTGCCCCCTATTTCTCGCCCTCGCTGAGGCAGCATGGCAGTGATGGGGGGGCTCGCAGGCCGCGCTGGTTCTCTTTTCGACCGTCAACCAATCACCAACTAACTACCCGACAACGGCCCGGTCCAAGCAGTCACGCCGCATATCAACCATCAGGTCTTTGAACAGTAGTGCCGTGAGCGTGAGCGGTACGTTGTAGACTGTAGACAGACGCGTTGCTGGCCTAGAGCGTACCGCCGTACACAGAGGCTGCGCGCTACCTTACCCCTGGTCTTGGAACTTGGAATGGCAGTGGCCACCGGCTTGCTCAACCATTGTTCATTTATAGGTGAGAGAGAGTGGGAGGTGACGTCGTCATCTGTGCGTTTTTGATGCCGCTGTTTTGCCCCACCTTGCCTGTGTAGCGCACAGGCCCTTGTTGGGGTGTGATTGGATTTGGCGCGCGCTGCTGCGGATGTTAACCCACAGCTATCGTCTTCGTCTACCTTTCCCGCTGCAGTAATGATCTCTTGTTTGGTGTTTTTCTGTTTATCCAAACCTGGTCACCTTTTTCCACTACTGCTGTCTTGTGTGTGCGAAAGCTGAGGGCCGGGACTTGTTGTGTAGGGCATGCCTTGTGCGTGTAGCGCACGGCCCTGGTTGAAGGCAGGACTGATGTATTGCTGCGGTACTACATTATGATTGTAGTCTGAACTCCGCGAGCGAAGGAAACAAAGGAACACATTCTGTGGTCCGCTTTCCCAGGGTGCAACATACAGAATAACCAACACCCTATACTCCTCTCTCAACATCTTCCGCTACACGTTCTCCTCCTCTTATGCACGGTCTGCATTTTGTCTGAAAACCGCAGAGTCAGATGGAAACTCCGAAATTCCCAGGCCAACACAACAGAGAGCAGCGTGAGATCAACCCTAAAAAAATATTGGCTTTGACTTGACAGACCACCAACTGACGGTTGATCCTTTCGAACCACCACATACGACCGACATCATCAGCAGCGACTACGCCCTAGGATTGGGAGGGAGGATACACACACCTACCTACCTGCTCTGCGTTAGTGAGCAGCATCACATCATCATCAATCAGCGCATATCAAGCAAATAGGCAACGGCCGGTTGTGGAGTTGCAAATGAGAGCATGCAGCAGCAGCGACACCATGATCTATCTACTGCGCGCCCTTTTTTTCGTTTGATAAAAGGAAGGGTGTGTGTCGTCTTTGCCTCTCTCCACCAACTGCTCTCCACACAATCCTGTCTCGTGGACATGTTGTCGATTGGTGGATGTTGTATTCAAGATCAGCACAGACGTCCAACATGTGATCTGTATAAATATGGTGACATCTACCTACTACACGCGGTGAAAGTGCAAACAAAGTGCTTTTGGTGCCGCGTGCGCGCAACAACGCGAGCTTAACGGCATCAAACCCAATTCTCAGCCGAAAAATCGAAAATCCGGTAGTTTTACCGTCTGTATGTGACTCTTCCTATCTACGCGGTTTTACGCCCTCTGATTGGTCGGACGTTGGTTCCTATGTATTTCCTAGCCATGACCCTCTCCAGCGCCCTCTCACCGTTCCGCATTCCTAGAACGCGTCGCAGCCGCGTTCTCACCCAGTTCGCGGCCGCTCCTAGAGAGCTCGTGAGTTGGCCGTGGGTGAGAGTTAAGGTTGGGTTAGTTCGTCCACGGTGTGTGTCTCATTTAAGGTGCGAGCCTAGCCTTCAACATTCGGTTAGACCTACTTGTAAAGAGTAACTAAAAATCTCGCTGGGATTTGGGCCTCCAAATCGCAGGGCGTAAGGCGATTCCGGAGTGGTATGTCCTGTCGGGGCTCACTACAAACCCAAATCTCAGGTACTGCTCCGGACCTTCCATAACAGTTGGTCAGCATAGCTTGTCAGCATAACTTGGTCAGATGATGGCCGCCAAACTGTCTTGTTGATCCTGTTATCCACAGTGGAGATATTGCTGTAGACTATCATGCTCGGGGAATCGTGGAGAACAGGTCGGTAATCACATTTGCTAAATCGATAGAACCGGCTGATCCCGGACTCTTACCTGTCGAAGAGATGATTTTGTTGACCTTTTGGTACCTACCGCGCTGCTCGCGTGTGTGGGAACGTGCGTGTGGGTGTTGCGCAGGAGTCAAAAGCGTCCTGGTCATGCAAAGATGATTACATGCAATGTGTTTCCTAGGAAGTTTTTTTCGGTTCGGAATGCCCCGCGAAAAAGAGCCAGTCAGGGCGATATATAAGGCGTTGATTACACGTGCCACGGATGGCTGACCGTCCTAGGGCGCCCGGTAATGCACCGACGAGACCAGTGCATGCCCCTGAGAAAGAAGCGTGAGAACAGAATCGCTGCCAAGAGGAAGTTGTGCCGAGGCACGAGAAAACATCGCATGTTCACTTCTACTTACATACTCGAGTGGAGGTCCCTGTTTAGGGCCGGTTGAATAATGCCGGTTGCCGGTTTAGTGCCAGTCAAATTTCGGCGAACAGGCAGAGACCTGATTAGTGCCAGACCGGAACTGGTGAGGGCTGCCCACGAAAGTTCCAGTTCGAGCACCACTGAACCCCAAAATAGTGCCGGTGTAAGCACGCATGCAAACAGTTTTCAATCGCACGTAGACTGACGTCTTTTCCTTGGTCAACCTGTTGGCGCGGTCGATGCCACATAGTAAGAAAAACACACCCAAAGCAAGAAGCACACACAGAGAAGAGAGTACACGTGCTGCTGCAGACCCGAGAAGCTCTACGCTGAGGCGCACCATGCCATGCGCGGAAGGTGAACTGTGCTACATACAGGACATAACACCGCACGCCCCGAATCGCCATGTCTGCAAGGGAGGATGCGGCGGGCGGCCCAACGGCGAATGCGGAAGCGTGTTTTGACGACAGCGAGTTTCACAAACATTTTTCGCCAAAGATGCATCTAGTGCATGATTGTCTTCCAGTCGCTGTCGAGGCGTGATTTTGAGGTTACGCGAATGGTTTGATCCGTTTAAGGCCAGTGTGATGGCTCTCATGCCCGCAAAACATTGAACAGCTGTGACACCTGTGCGATATTCATGTAAAGGTTTTCAGTTGAAGGGTTTCAGTACGTTTGCTGAGGCAGGTAGAGCAAAACGGTGCAACATGTTTGTCCCGTCCAGTTAACTTTCTACAGCAAAATCAGCGTCTTCCACAGGGTAGGAACCAGACGTATCGTGGCAAAGTCTGCCCACGCCGCCCACGCCCAAATCTCACCATTTACGGTTCATTGTTCTCTGTTGGCCCCGCAAAGCGTAAGCGCTGCACTCTGAAATCAAACAGTTCGTCAATAGTGCCGGTCTGGCACTATTGAGAGTTTTTTAGACCCTGCATGATACCGGTTTGGCACTATTCAGGCACTCTACGCAAGAGTGCCGGTGTCCGGTTTAGTGCCGGTGAAATCTCAGCGCACACCCCGGCACTAAGCAGGGGCCTCCACCGCAGGTACCTATACTCGACGAAATCGGCAGGTCCTTCAACCCGATCCGACTCCTACCCAACCACAACACTGCCCAACGCGGTCCTACTTTCCAGTTCTACCCAGCCCCTGCTTTGTCATCAACCCAATCCCACCCCCATCCGACGTTCTCCCCGGGTCTTGCTCCTCACCAAGCCCGACCCAGGTCCCGAAGGCCGCACCCAACCATTACTGCAAAATATTTATAATATTCCGGCGGTCCCGCCGAACCCTGCCCCACCTCAGTCCAACGGAATTCCAACCCAACATCGGATGCCGTGGAAGGCCTCCCATCAACCCTGATTTCCTGACCTATTCTGTACAACCTAACACGCATACGCGAAACCACCTACACATCGTCTCTATCCTCAGCCTTTGGACAAACAAGCGACAGGACGTGTAGTTAGGTGGGTTTTTGTAGAGGAGCACAAACTAAATCAAACCACAAAAGAATATTCAATACTCCTTCTGACGATCATGTGCAGCGCCGTTCGGATAAAGTGGAGGCACATTGTGCACACGAAACACGCCTATGGTGATGCATGTTTGACAGCATAATCATTTATGTTTGTGTGCCCTCGGCTGGAAACTATATCATGACGATTGCACTACCCGTCTTCATTAACTATGTTTTGACCGAACCGTTTTTTGGTTGATCAACTATCGACAGGGTTGACGCAAGATGTCAGGCAACGACGCTTTCAGTAGTAGTGGAACAGCCCCGCCGGCGCTGGTCCCGTCAGGTGAGACCTCCGAGGGTCACAACAACGAAACCACCTTGATATCGGTGGCTTCGTCGTCCCCCGACAGCCGACTGGCGGCTTCACCCGAGAACTCCAGCGGTGGTGGGCGTCATGGCAGCTCGACGTTCTTTTCCTGGTCCGAAGAGCAACGAGATACGCTAACCTCCGCTTTGGAGACGCGCCACCAACAACCTGACGCTGCTGGCGCTGCCGAGGGAGGCCCGGCAACGGCATCTGGTACATGGTTGTTGGCCGTGTCACGCGACGACGAAGGTCAATCGGAGCTCGATGGAGAAGGAAACGGAGAAAGCATTGCCGAACAAGTCGAGGAGAGACAACCCGGGCGAGGAGGGGTCAGGGAAGGATTTGCCGGCCAGACGGCAGAAGGACTTCTAGGGGTGCCCGGATCAGCAGGGGGTGACGCTATCGATGGGCCTGAGAATCGTTTCGCGGGTGCGCCAAACGACCGAACAGGAGGACAGGCGCACGGCGGCGGGGCGCGCGAGAAGCTGGCCGCCCTGGGGCCTGGCTCGCCTCGCGATGCCGAGGGAGGGCCAGTGATGGCATCCGGTAAATGGCTTTTGGCTGTGTCACGCAACGACGGAGGACAATCGGAGCTCGATGGAGAAGAAAGTGGGAGAACCATTGCCGAAGATGTCCAGGGGAGACGATCCGGTCGAGTAGAGGTCAAGGAAGGATCCGTTGGTCAGACGACAGAAGAATCTCGAGGGTTACCTGCGTCGGTGGCTGGCGCCATCGGTAGACCTGGGAAAACCTTCACGGGTGCGCCAAATGATATCATCAGCGGCCAGGTGCACGGCGGCGGGGTGCGCAAGAAGCTTTCCCCCCGGGGGACTGGCTCGGGCCGCCAAACGTCGGGAGGATCGCGAGGTGGTCCCTCTGGGGGCGAATCACGCCCGAAGCCTTCGGGTGCAGTGTCGCAGGAAAAGCGATCGATGTTCCCAGAAGGTGTGGCAGATGAAACAACCGGGGCCGATGGGACAGCAGTTGCACCTGTCGCAAACGCTAATACAAAATCAGGTTGCTGAACGATACGATTAGCGCGCGGTTTCAGTTGCAATAGGGTTTGAGTTAAGCTTTTCCCCGCCCCATTGGTTTATACAACTCGGCTGCGAGTGTAGTACTGAGTAGTTTCTGTGGGATGCTCGTGCCATTGTACTGGTGTACATCGGCGATGTATATAGTTCCACACGTCCCATTGATCTTACCAGAATCTTCCGCTGCTCTGGTTCCTTACGCGCTACAAGAATCAACGTTGCTGGGTGCGATACGGAGTGGCCAGCCGGAGGCAGTATCGGAGGTCTTGGAAAGGATGGACCAGGCGCAGGCCACAAGGGAACTCCTTGACCCAAACCTCATTGCCCTCGCTGCTCGAGTTGGCGACTGCCAGCTTTTTGAATCGATCCTTGCTGCAATGCTGGAAACGGTCACCACGTGTGAGGTCAGCGAGAGAGTTTGTGGTTTGGAAGTGAACAAAAAGAGAGGTGCTGTTGGTGAAAAGTGGCTCACATCTCAAATAGTTCATCAACGCGGTGTTGTTTCCTCTCGAGCCCTAGCAATGTACAGAATGACGAGCCGCTTAGCTTCATCCCCCGCCTCTCAGGTGGCGCGGCTACTAGCTGAGGCATTCAGTGTGGCCACCACGGAAGCGCAGGGTGTGCGGCATACCATCGAAGATCCTCTGCGGGGTCTATCGATGCTGCTGCAACACGGAACAAAGCCCCACCCAACGGACCTTGTTATCTTGTGTCGCGCCATCGACTACGAGGAGCTGGACGAGTGCCTTTTTCAGGCGGTGGCTTCAGCGAAAAACTCGTTCATTCCGAGCCTAAACCTCTCGTTCGCGTTCCGCGATGCCATTAGGAGTGCCGCTTCCGAGAGGGACCGCAGGGTGCTGGCCCGCCTGCAACACGACGTGGACTCGATCCTGACGGAAACTTTGAACCGCTTGCCACAGAGTGTGTGCGGCCTCTCTGGGGGCATGGCCGCCTGCACCGCCCTTCTGGAGCCCGAGGTGGCCGACGATAGCTCCACCTACGGGGAGCGGGGCCCCTTGGCCCGGGCCTTGGGCTGTACTCACCGAATCGTTACCTTCGCTACAACTCCCCTTTGCATGAACTTCATGCTGCTGAAGTTTACCAGAGGTCTCCCAGCCCTCAAAGATGGCCATTCTGTGTTGATCCTCGAGAAGTCGAGACTCGATATCCGGGAGGAAGCCAAGGGGCACGAGAGCCTCACGGCTTTGTGCCCAGGGTCAATACTGGGTGGTTTCCTACCCAGGGTCGGCAAGCTTCTCTGGGACGATGACCGCCTGGCACCACTGACTTTTTTTCCTGGGGCTCATTTCATCGCTACGGGTGTAGTTGCGCTGCCGAACAGCTACTACAAGGTACCGCTGATGAGGATGGCCCTTGAAGCCATGATATTCACCGCCGCCCTCGCGTTCTTCACATCTAGGGTGCTCCTTTTCGAGAAGGGACAGCTGACGATTGCGGAGGTGGCCTTCGCCATCTACGTCGTGGTAAGTGAGATATATATGTCGAGAGCCAGTTTTGATCCAGCGCGAAAGGTTGTGCCTTCGTCGATTCGGGGTTTGCCTCATCTCACAAATCAGGATAATGAGCTTGAACTTGAGCGGTGGATGTGCATACAAGCAGGCAGCCCGAGAGCGCTGCGCGGTAGTATTCAGCCACCCTCGCAACGCGTGGTAATAGAACAAAAAGCGTAACGTCCGCATGATGTTCTTCACAACGCCAGTCGTCCAAATGATGTCTTCCTTCGTGACCCCTCCTTCGTGCCCGTCTTCTGCTGCAGGCAGCCATCATGTTAGAGGCCACGGAGATGTGGAAAGATTTGGCGGGATATCTGCTGGATCGCTGGAAAGCCCCCCACTTCTTGGCCCTAGTGGTGGCACTTGCGGCATTCCTCGCTAGGGCTATCGATCCCGATAGTTCGTGGGGTCGAGGACTCTACGCGGTGGGCTCACCGCTCATGTACTGGCGCCTCCTGTACTATGCTCAGGTAATTCCCTCTCAGGGGAGTACCATTCAGGTGCTGTACGGCATGGCCTCGGAGCTAGGACAGTTTTTCGTGGTAATGGGCGTCGTTATCCTGGGCTTTGCCATGTCCTTCTTCGCCCTGTTCAGAGACGTCAAGGGGGAGACCATACGGGGTGCGCTTCTCGACGCGTTTCAGGCAATGCTCGGCGAGGTAGGACTGTTTGACGATTTCGTTGGGGAGAAGCACGACTTGGCGGCTACCGTGTTGCTTGTGAGCTACTTGGTCGTCATGACCATCATGCTCTTAAACCTGCTCATTGCTGTGCTGAGCACGGCTCACGGAAAAGTTGAGGAGGCGGTTCTCATTCGCGTGTCCAGGGCCCGCGTCTACACGCACTATCGGTGGGTCGTGGCAACCGACGCGCTGCCTGCACCGTTCAACTTGGCACAGCTGGTAGTGCTTCTTCCGTGTAAGATGGTCGATGTGTTGTTCAAGGGCAACACGTACCCGATCGCCCGGCGAGGCGTGGGGCGAATTGTATTCTGGCTCTTATTGGGTCCTGGCGCGATCCTCGGAGGGGTTTTCGTGTGGCTGGTGTCCACCCCGAAAGCCCTGTTCGCTATCTGGGGCAAGCGGTCGCTTTCGATCGCTTCGAGACTGGGGCGGACAATGCTGTGCCTGTTGTGGATCACGCTTGGTGTACCTCTGTGCCTTGTGGTTTCGTGGGTGACCCAAGCGACGCGTGTACTCTTCGGGCGTACCTTTGGTCTTGAAGGCGCAAGATCCTCGGGGCCCATAATATACACGGTAGATGACATGCTCAGGGAGGTGACCGGGGTAGGGATGGCGGCGCTGCGGATGCACCTGAAGAACCCTGTGGCAAGCGAAAAGTGTTATGTCAGCGCACGCGTCGAGGATCGCTTAGCTACGGTGGACCTGCAGGCCCTCCGCTTCCACGTAGAGGACATGGCCAAGGAGCACATCGAAGCAGCACACAGGAGGTTGGAGAAACAGCTCGACGAAAAGCTTGAGGGTTTCCTGGCGAAATTGTCTGCGACGTGACACTGGGTGCTGAACCAGCCTTGCTCGTAGAGGAAGTGAATTTTTGCTTGCCGTTTTACATGCCTTGTGTATTTTCTTGTGACAATGAGAATGGCGTTTACTTCCCGCAGGATTTCTGTCATGCGTCGACAGGAGATGGGGCTACTTTATAGGAGCACGATATCACAGCGAGTGGGATGGGGGATTTGTAATTTGTATCAAGATGTAGGGATGTCAAATTCTTTGATTCCTCAAGGTGCTCAGGGTAATGCGAAAGATTCAAATCCCGGTCCAGGATTGAAGAGGCGAACAAACCCAAACCCGGATTGAAACGCGGGATTTGTCTTCATGAGGAGCAGACGACCACGAGGATATTTTCCAGAAAGATTGATTCTCTGGAAAATGCTGCGCCACAAGCCGAGAGGTCGAGTCCTCTTGTGACGTGCAATATTGCTTGGCCGGAGAGCAAAGCTTCTGTCCCAGAATGGCCAACCTTCCTCGCAACCACGCTAAACGTCTAAGAAAGGCGAGGAAAGAAAATAAACTGAGAGGGGGACATGTGGTTGTTCCTCCTTTCATTCCTGAAACCACCAATTGGTACCTAAATAAGGGGCGCTATGTAGAGACGAAGAGTCCATGACCGTTGATGCCACCATCGGTCGACCATGAATTTTTCGACCAAACCAAGTCTCCATCCAAAACGTTTTGACCAATCAGAAAACTGCGGGCACCTTTTCTCTCTCTCTGCATTCTCCGGCGACATTCGAAGAAATTACTCCCGGTCTCTTGCTAACAGATGCAAGACCAGCCAAGCCCAAAACTGTACATCTCCTGAGTATTTGAGAGGTTCATAACAGCAACGGTCGGGAGTTCCGCAAAAACATACGCCAAACGTGGGAGGAAAAGAACATACTATAACGGACCAATGTCTTTGGCATTCCGAAGCAGATGAAAAACTGACGCAAACCTATCCAACCTCCCGGGGATATCTACAAACACAGTTGCCTGTGGAAAGCACAGTCGCATGTGCGACCGACGACCATTGAAATAGCACACGTCATGCATTCTACCCAAAACCTACCGGAACACTACCGGGAAAATTATCTACACTTGTAGGCGCGGGACTGTTGCGAAACCAGAGCCCATTCTGTTGCAAACAGGTTGACAACACCAAATACCACCACCACCACCACCGGCGGCGGCGGCAGCTTCGATTGCGTTTACGTGGACTAGACTTGACACAGTCGCTCTTGCCACGCCTCCACCGTGCTCTTGGCCAACCAGATGAGACCGGGGTCCTGCCTGCCGAGCTCCAGCTGGTCGTCGCCCCTCTCCTCGAAACCGGCCGCGAGGAGCAAGTCCACCCCTCCGGCCACGGCCCCTACAGACGCCTGGACGTGCACAAGGGCGACCACCATAAATGAAAGACCGACCACGGAGACCGCAGCGACGCGAGCAACCAAAGTTCGTCGTAAGTATGTAAAATGTGTTGAACCAACGACAAGGTATCCAACGACACAAGTGCAACAACTCTTCCACATGCGTGTCCAAGACAGTCACCCCGGAGAAAAAGAAAAGAGAGCTTCGCTGACGTCGAAAATTCGAGGTCGTCTTGGACGTCCCACCGAGAACCAGAAAATAATACTTTATCAGAAAAGCCAAATATTTGCGAGAAAGCCACACTCTGAAGGAGTTTCCGAAGAACCACACCCAGAGGGGGGTGCATAGGGATATGAAAGGAGGGGCTAAGAGACAGAGGTGGGGGGAGGGGGAGCGAGAGAAAGACGAGAAGCCGAAAACAATACCCCTGATGGCACAGATCTCTGTTGTCCCGAAAAATACCTTCCTCATGACAGACATGAGTGAAAAATAGGTCCGGTGGTCGGTCGTTGGGTCTGGTGCAGAAGGGTGGGTGAAAATACAAAGATAGAAGTGCGAGCGATCCCATACTGCCTAAACTTGACTTTCATAGCTCGTGATGGCTCCACAACCAACGGGGCACGAAACCCGATCGATATGTGCCCTCGGCGAGGTCGTTCCAACGCAACCGTTCCCGGCATTGGCAGCCGCTGGTTGTTCGTGATTGTGGAGAAACCGAGCTGTCAAAACCGGTCTGGTGTGTGTGTGACCACTCGCACGTTCACGGCATAGATCCGTCTTGGTTTGTCCTCGTTCTCCTCACCTTGAACTTCCCGTTGGAGCGCCGGACTTTCCTGAACTTGGCCTCTTCGGGGTGTTCCATGATGTTCCGCAACACCGCCGCCAGCACGTCCAAGCACTGAGCAATCCGGTGCAATTGTACATTTTGGTGTGGTCGTTAGTGGTGGTCTTGTTTTGGTATTAGTGGTGGTCGTCGAATGCAAAATCCCGCACGACAAGGCACGAAAAGGTCAGGCCCGTATGTACGTTGATAAACGTAACAAACATTGTAGGAAGAGATGGTGCAGGAACAGGAGCAGGGGGGTGGGGAAACGTTCTCGATCGCACTGCTAGTAGGTTCAAAAGAAGCAAACGCGCGGCTAGAAAAACACTCTTGAGCCGAGAGAACGAGGCACCTGTAGCACCAGCAATTTTCCTCACCAAACTCAACCACATTTTGTTCGTCGATCAAAGAACGCGTTCGAGGCGAAGCACTCCACCACCTCTCGGTACCATCTACATAGTCAGAAAGAACACAAACCTCCCGCTCAATAAACATTGACAACTCGTACTGCTGTGCCCCGCAGGGCAGCCCTCACCTGTACAGCCCTGGCCCTATCAGCGTGCCCGGCGACCCTGTCCGCCGCTTGCTGAAGTCTGACGTCTCGAGGCAGCCGCACCGCTCCCTCACTACCAGTATCGCGACCCGCTTCTCGACTACCCTGCGCCCCACCGCCCGCTGCCGTCATACCGACAGCTTCGCTGCTGTTGTTTCTACCCGACTCCATCATCCCTGGAGTGAGCAATCGGTACGCCGCGTCGGGTATCGACCCTCCAGACGCAGACAACGCCTCCACAGCGGCTTCTCTAGGAAATCCCATTGCCAGGAGCTCGTCCAGGGAAGAGGATTCGGGTGTCCGTGGTGCTGGTCCTAGTTTGGTTGCTGCCGCCGCTAGTGTCTCTGGCGGCGGTGGTGGTGTTGGTGAGGGTGCTGGAGAGGCCCGTGCTACCGGGGAGGGCTCCTCGTCCATCTCCAACGGAGTGGGTGCTGCTGCCTCGAGGGGTGGCGAGTCCACCGGTTCTACGGAGATTCCGTCGCCTTCTTCTTCGGCCACATTCATCTCGCTTGCTCCCGTTAGGCGTTGCCCTCGCTCCGCTTGTCGTTCTTCACCACCTCTTGTTTTCCCGTCTGTCCCGCCGTGGTCCCCGCTTGTTGCCCCCGCTGCCGCCGACGTCAGAGCCGGGGCGACCCCGTCGTCCAAGTCATCCGACGTAACCGACATCTCCGAAACCGATGACGCCATGGCGTTGGTCTCCGCCAACCGCTCTTCTTTCTCCACCTCGGCTGCCCCAGCCGCCACCCCTCCGGACACAGCGCTCGAGCAATCAGACGGGCATTGTGCGACGGACAATCGGGTACTCGTAGCAGCAGCGGACGCAGAGGCAGCAGCCGCCGTGACGGGCGCGGCCGCGGCGGGTGTGGCAGCGGTAGCCGCAGCGGTGGCGTGTTTGTTGCCCTTGGTGTGGCCGCAGCAGTCCTCGACCTCCTGCTCTTCCGGGGTCAGTCGCTGCACGGCCGCCTGTCCCGCCATCTCTCCGGCAGAAAAGATCTGCAACCGGGTGGTTCAGCGATGCGAGGTTTCGACGGGGGGGTTGCGAATGAAATCAGTTGCCACAAGGTGGCGATTCTGAGCACCGGCGGTGGATGTTCGCGGTGGGATAACGTCGTGAGGCGCCGCACCAGTGGTTATATGATGAAGGGTGGTCCAATCGGTGAGTTTGGCCACCCAACCCAAACCAACCCGACCGAAATCACCGGTAGGGTAGCCAGAGGACGAGGTGAAGGGAGGCAGAGCCGCAACCAAACCTAAGCGTCGGTGTCCACACCAAGACTACCGTATCAACTCTCAAGTCCCACAAAAAGCAGCAGAGGGACACCTTTTTCGGCACGAGACAAACGAAACAAACAAGTGACCTGGGAGGTCTCTGCAAACCAAAGGTTTCAATTAAAAAAACAGAGTGTTTCGTTTTCTGTTGGTTTGTTTTGCAACACACGTCACGCTGTGCGCCGAGGCAGACCGACAAGGGGGCAAGACTCGCGTGTGCTCCAGGAGTCAATCTCAGGTGAGCACAAAATCTCGGCTTTGTAGACAAGCAAGAGAACGGCCTGCACAAGAACAAAAGGAACGCAAAACCAATTCACCTTCGTGAACGCGTTGCTGTCTCCCCCAAGCCTCCCCGAACCCCCCTCGAATGCTTCCTTGACGAGAATGAAGCCCTCACCGCCTCCCGGGAGGCCGGCCGGCTCAGCACGAGGTGCGGGTGGGCGGCCTGCGACGGTACGACCACCGGACTGCTGCATCCAGTTCAGTTCAGCCGCTTCTCGTTCCACCTTCAACAGGTTCCAGTTGGAATGAGAGTCGGGTTAAATATCAATTCGACGGTTTGCTGTTTCATCCGTCGTGGGGATCTTTTCGTTGCCTGAGGAAAAATTACACCATACAGTATGCGTAAGACGCCTCTCAAATGCATTGTACCTGATTAATGTCTCAAACGGGCCGACCCGAAGAATAACAGAAAAAAACTACAGCATAACCCTTTGGCCTTCTTGCTATTCACTCCGTACCCCGTCGAGATGGAACACAGAGATGAGAGACGGGCCAGCAGGGGCGAAGAGTGACGCTGACAATTTCTCCCGGGGGCACTCCGGACTCCCGCATATCTGAAAACTGAGTCCATTGCCAAGGGGGACTGGCTCAATCTTCAAAAGCCGCCGGCGTCAGCAGAACACCGCTCCGCACACGACGCCTGAATGGATGGCTAGAGGCTAAACACTCAGAGAGCGACTTCTTGTCCACTCCCCGCGCCGAATATCTCACCTGTCGCATGAGCATGTAGAAGTTGTCGTCGTGGTCGCTGATATCGTTGTGTGCTAGCTCGTGGAACAGCACTTTCCGGATGGAGAGGATCTGCTCGTCAAGGACAAAACGCCGCAGGTAGGGTTGGCAAGAAAAATGAAAAGACACAAAAAACGTTGTTTGCAACCCGGCACATGATTTTCGGGTTGGTGTGCGCGGCACAATATGCATCAGCGAAAACAGTTACATGGCCTTCAGCGTTGCAAGAGGGACGAGGACGAAGCATGATGTACTCCGAGCAGCCAGTCAGCTTGAGCGACGAGGTGCAAAACGTCGACACAGGGAGTGTGGACGATACAGCCAAGTCGCGGGCAGAATCGCACCTCACAAAACAAAAGAGCACAAGAAGCAGAAAGCGGTCGTTGCACCTTGCCACTGCAAAAACAAATGATGGTTATCACTCAGTGGCCACCATCCGCAACGTACAACGCGCACCTTTCGGAACCCCCGGAGGTCGTCCGTCCTCAGGCGGAGAAAGATCTTCATGCCGTGGTTCTGGTTCAGCCCCAGGACGCACTTATCGCTCACCCCCACCTGAAAGACGCCCGGGGAGAGGGCGAGGAAACACAGTGAAACCACCTTCCGAAGAACCTCAGACTAGACGGCATCTCGGACGCGGATGGTCAAGCGGTACCGTGGCTAAGATGCAACGAGCGAGAGAACGGAAGTAATGCTGCCATATTGTGTGAAAGGTGAATCAAATACCTACACCCAGAGTCGTCGGTGTGCGGCCAACGGGCGGAGCTCTCAAAGCTAGAGCTAGAGCTAAAGGTGACGTTGGTGATAGCAGGTCAGAAGACCAAAAGAAAACAAGAGCCATTCAATTAAATCCGAGAAGCGCCAACAACGTACAAAGGCGCTCCATATCTAGTCTTTGCAGTAGGCAGCGCATGACGAGAGTCACAGAAACCCCCCAAAAATAAAAATCCGCACCTTGCCCTCCGGGTACAGCTCGCAGAGGGCGCCCACTGTCCATCGGTGCTTCTCCAGCACCGCGCGCACCCCCGGGTCCGCCGCCAACGACTCCAGAATTTTCCTGGCGGTTTCTTCCTCGGGCAGCCCAGGGAGGGTCTCGATGCGCTCGAACCTGCGGTTGTAGAAATGGAGGGGTGTCACACCGAATACAGCGCATCGAATGGGTGAAGGTATCGCACCGCCAAGCAAGGGAGGAGGAGGAGGAGGAGTAGCGGAGGATGCCCGCTACGGACGGGACGGAAGATCACGCGGCGCAGTTCCGGAACAGAAAACTATCCCTTGGTTTTCTACAATTGGACATGGCAAGCACCAATGCGACCGTCGTTCCCAAAGACTTCCACCCCTGATGGGAGTCTTCTGGACTTCGATCGTCAACCTAGGCACCACGATGGATGCCAAGAAGGTGCACACGGACCCAAGCCGACCTCGCCCCGCCCGCCCTCACCCGGTCGATATCTGCCCGTATTTCCTTCAACGCGGAAGGTACCCTTTGTGAAAAGACAAGCGGCCCCCCGTGCACCCCTGCTGACGAGAAAACAAACGCAGGACAAGACAGCAAAAAGCGCACCACATACACCTCTCCCCCTCCCGCCCTATTCACCTGTACGGGGACAAATCCGAGGGCCCCGGGGGGTAATTGAGCGCGACCTTCTTGTAGCCCTTCGGGGTGACCTGTCCGTTGAGGTCGTTGCGAACCCTCACACGGTCTTGCTCTCTGAGGACTTCCTCCACCTCGGAAGGCTTGCTTCCGACCAGCATAAGCTTTGACTTCTGGACGAAAGTGTCGCCTTTCTCCTCGTGTCTCTCTGTTGCTGTCGTCGTAGTAGCAGTCTGCGCGGGACTTGGAACCAAGACCCCAGCCGCTTCCAGCGTGCCAGCTTCGTCGCGCAACGCCTTACCCTTCAAAATCTGAGGATAAGGGGACATTAGAACAGCAAATGCTTAGCATCATCCCGACCGCAGGGTGGCGACAGGTTGGGTGCCATTCCGGAGACATGGTTGGGGGGAAGATGGCGGCAGCGGGAGTCGGGCGTTGGCACATGATAGGAGAAACAAGACGAACAGACGAAATCAGTTCGTACAGCTTTGACTGCTGCATCTGCTGCACTGTACGACTACTTCCTCGAGACCCAGTGGGCGGAATCGAGAAACCCTCCGGGGTCATCTCTCAGCCAGTGACCGACTGTGGGCGAAAAACGTGGACGCACGCCACCACAGCAAATTATGTTTCCTACAAGGTTTTGGGCGCTGCGCGCCCCCGCTTTCTTTGAAGCGATTCCAAGGCAAGGTTTTCTCTGAAAGTGGGTGTAGAATGTTGTTAAAATGAAGGTAGGCACCGATGGCAGTTAAAGTTTCCGTGAAGGTGGAGTTCCCATGATGGAGGTTCGTGTGTGATTTAAGGAGATGTAAAGGTCCATTATTTGTTTCCCATCGCCGTGCCCAGTACCCCTCCATTATCTGATACACATTCAGACCTCAGAACTGCAAAAAATTGACAAAATTGTCGGCTGAACTGCGAATGAAGAAAGGATGCTCGGGCGGGGGAGTCGTCGAAGAGATGGCGGCGAGACATGGAGTCGAAGACTACAGAAGGAATGCGAAGTAACAGAAGGAGTGCGAATAGCCGGAGTAGTTACAGAGGAGTGGGAGGAGTGGGCCGGGGTAGCCATCGAGAGCGGAGGTAGAAAGGAGTGTATTTTCGTATTCTTCGGACCTTTAGAAGGGATTATCGGAACCGGAGCACACAACACCGTTGCCGGAATCGGAACAAACAACGGACCATTCCGACGCGAGAGCGGTGAAGAGAGAAAAGCAAAAAATTAAAGACAACGTGGATACACAGACACACACACACACCGAGAGGAGAGAGAGAGAGTAAGACACACACACACCGAGAGGAGAGAGAGAGAATACGGTACCAAGGTGATAGGAGGTGAGTGCATACCGTGTGAAGGTGTTAGAAGAAAGAAAGAAAATGTACAGCAGTAGCACACGGAATCGGAACAAACAGCAGACCATTCCGACGCGAGAGCGGTCAAGAGAGAAGGCGAAAATGAAAAGAGGATGTGGATAGACAGACCGTCAGAGACATAGAGAGACGGAGGAACGGAGGAGAAGGAGGCACACACAGAGAGGGCCGTACTTCGAGTGGAATGCGTGGTATGATGGTACAGAGCGGGGTGACAGCAGCAGGCAAGAGAGATAAAAGCGGAAGATAAAAGTGGAAAGTCCACCAAAGTGCCTCCGTTCCAGAGGAAATTCTGCTCTGTGAGAGTCCGAGAAGACCGGAATAGGGCGCTCACAGAAGCCGAAAGAAGCGAAATGAAGCGTTCTCAGAGAAAACTTAAATTGTAAGAAGACTATACAGCAGTAGTTGCTCTCACCAGCTTTTGGTTGGCGACTGGCACCGCTGTTAGCTCTTCCAGCTTGTTCTTGAGGTTCTCGACGGCCGTCGCGTGATCAACGCCTGTCACGGTGAGCGGCTCCCCGCGGAACGAGACCTGAAGCTCCATCGCTTCCCCGCAAACAAGGCCACACTAGTTGCTGCTGAAACAACAGCAGGTATTGTGCAGCGAGACAGACAGGGAGATGCGCTGAGCGCGCAGCAGCAGTTGATCAATCACACTCAAATTGCCACCACGGCATAGGAAGGAGGTTAAAGGGGTTTCACCCTGTCAGTGATTCCGGCAATGTTCACTCAGCAAGTGAGAATGTATGATTCGTTGACTCAATCGCTGAGGCTCTGCTCTGCAGAGTTCGTCGCATTGCATCCATCATCCTCACAGTCCCGCGAGCTCAGAGTGGAACCCACCTCTCGGGCTCTCACAGACGCCTGATGATCGCAGAAACCAGGAAACAATGCACCCCAGGTACGGCTGTTGTTGACTGTATACACCGTGCCGAGAGAGAACAAGTCTGGCGCTGTGAGGCGGGCGTGCTTGGCGTGTGTAAGAGCAGGTTCGAGAAAAATGCGGGGCAATGGGACAAAGGGAGATTCATTGGGAGATTTCGGAGATTCGGGGGGGGTACCTGGAAAGGAACGGCGTCGGAGACGGGACACGAGACACATCGTCAGCAGCGCGAAGGGACGTCTCTGATGTCGCTCGCTGTGCAGAAAAGCCGAATCGACGGCGCAGCGGATGGGGAACTCTTTCGCTAAAAGCAATGGGGCTCAGTCGGCTGGGAAGGAGGAAGAACGGGTGGAGCGGCAGGGCTCTGCTGCTCTCGGGCCTTTTTCGTTTGACGAATTTTCTCTCCTCGAGGAACTGTTCTTGTGAGTGCAGTCGTCTACAGCAGCAGCAGTCGACCATAGCAGCAGTACTGCTACTGCAGCAGGAGCTGTCCAGCTTTTCAATTGTTCGAGTGCGGCTTCGTGCGCACTTCTCTACGACCGCCCAACCTACTCGTGGGCTGCATAATTTTGCAAGCGATTCCTATGTGAACATACTGCTGTAGTGTAGTAGATTGTCTCCCAAGTGTCCAACGTACACCGCGATCAAGTGCTGACTACATGGCGCCGTAGCAGTTTGAGTATTAGAGCGCAGCAGTAGTGTTGTGTGTTGTGACTCCGCCGCGCAAAACGCCTTGTGGTTGAAGCTAGAAGAGGTTAGCGAGGCTGGCGCTTCCTGTGTCGGGGCGCTCTTCACTCACGTGTTGCAATGCACTTGCTCATAACTTGTACATATGGGTGAAGTGAAACGGCTTGGGTGATGGCCACACTCGCAGCAGCATTGAACAATCGTAGGCGGTGTTCTGAGAAATTTGTCCTGCGAGATGGAGTACGCTGTGTGCCGCAGCACCCAGACAGCTGTAGCCAGCTCCTATCGTTGGTGCTCCCAACGCAATGAATACGCCAAAGACCATCGCTCTTCGTAGCTGCTGCTTGGCAGTGGCCTTGTGTAGAGTATTTACTGAATAGAGTAGCCCGTGGGGCAGGGCCGGCGCTCAGTCGTCGGTAGGTGGTGTCACTCACAGTCCCGTCCTAGCGGTAAGCGGTGTCACTCGTACATGACTAAAACCTCCTTTGTTTTTACAATTGATAATACGGCTGCAGCACAACCATGGATTTTCAATGCTCCGGAGTAGCGGTGGAAGGACCGACGTGCACATTTGTGCCCGAGCTTGGGTGCAATAAGGTTGGTTTTCCTCCTATTGTACCCACCGCCCACTCCACGCATGAACAGACGCCCCTTGTTCCGCCGCTAGGCCGTTTTGGTTTAGTGGACACCGGCAAGAAAAAAACAAAAGAAACGTACATACTCTTGGCGTTTCATCGACGTTGCGATCGTTGTTTGTCACTGCTTCTCACTACCTTTCCCTGCACTGCACACGCACCATACACAGCAACAATTCGAGCAACAGACACGATCATCAGCGTACCGCCCACAGCTTATTTTCTCCCGCTATCGCACCCCCCGAGAAAAACAGACACAAACCTTTGTAAAACGCGTGCTTTTTTGCGTCCGTACGAGCAGGAGCCTTGCCGATGCCGAAGGGAAGCACATCGACCCACAAAAGTTTCGGGAACACTTCGCGCTCGAAGGCGCGGACTGGTTCTCTGACCGACTGCTGGCCGTGTTTCTGGAGGAAGGAAAGGTCCGATCAGGCTCGGATGCGGGCAAGCTCGATCTAGAGGGGTTTCGAGAAGGAGGTACGCCGCGGCAGAGAGAGTGGGCCGGCCGGGGGGGCGGGGGGGAGGTACACCTTTGCTGCTTGCCTTCGTCGCTTGACCATTGACCACGCACTGCTGTCGAGAGACGGAGGGGTAAGGCAGAGATGTTCGCGTACTAGAGAGTGGTGCGAGGAAGAGGAGGAGGATGGGGGAGGGAACGCTGTCGGGATATAGGTTTTCGAATCGGGCATGCTCTCTCGAACGAGGCATCGGTGGACGCCTCCATCTCACCCATGACATTGTTGTTGGGCTTGCGGTAACGGGCAATGTTTTTGTGGGGTAGTTGGTCGGAGAAGGCTGAAACCCCCGGCCCCGTCCCCGTGTCTTGGAATGATGGCTTCTACTCCACAGTGTGTTCTGCGCTGAATCGCCACCGATGCGTTTTTTGTTTTCGTGCTACGCTCTGTCTATCGTCACGTCAACCACACCCGCGGCAACCACGCCTCTGAACAACAATCGGCGACAACATGAACAACAACGTTCACTATAATCACCAACAACACCGCAATCACCAACAACACCAACGACTGTTACGGTGACGACGACTCCTCCAGTGGCACTAACTGGGAGGAGCAGCCGGTCGGGGATGGTGCAGGCGCTGTACAACATCTGTAATCCTACCGGAGCGTCTTCCTTGGATCAACAGCAGGTGAGCGTCTCCGAAGGATTAACACACGCCAAGAATTCATGCTTTTGTTTGTCGATTGTGTTTCACGTCCTCGATCTCTTTCTCAATGTTTATGGTCGAAAGGGGACATACGGGTACGGCACGACCAAACGCTTTCTGTTAGTCTCCAAGTCGGTCGAACTGGAAACCACACCGGTAGCGCTAGCAGCAGAAACAACAAGAGTCACGTGAAGAACACGTTCCGTTCCCCGCCCCCCTGCACACTGCCCGACCAAAGCAGGACGTCAATGCTCCCCACCCCGCGCGCTCAGGTCAATGGCCTAACGGCTACGACATGCATGTACATGAGTTCACCCCCCCTCCCCCTCCCTGCGCTCAACGCGGTGTCTTGCAACCAAAACAATTGACCAGCTCGCCCGGTTGTTCGAGGCGGCGCATTGCTGCTGCACGGCGGCTTGGCGACGCTCACCCACCACCACAGACGACACCGCCACCGGTACCGCTAGCACCAGCACGAGCATTCCGGAAGTAGCCAGCGGTTCTTCCTCAGAGAACAGCCAGTTTCGGTCCGACAAGCTCGCCGAGAGCGTTGCAAATCACCTCGGCTCGGCAAGAATGGGAGTTTCGCGGATTGGACCGGGCGGGGGGGGTGATGGGGAGGGAGGCGTATCCCCTCAGGGGCTAAAGGCGTGGGTGTCGGAAAGGGCCCCCCTCTTGCACCACTGCCTGAGCACGTTTATACACACGAGGTGCTTTCTTTACGGGGACGCCAGGAGCCTGGGGGTAGAAGGTGAGGGAACACAGCATTATTGCAGCGACGGAAGAAATCGGAACGATTACACCCATGAACTACCGGCAACGCTGCCCCAAGCCTGATCCAAACCACTTCCGCCCAAACTCCACACCCCGAGATCGCTGCAACGCCTGCACACCTCCGACTTGGCCTGCCCCTAACCCCGGAACTTACCGCCCGAACTCTACCCCAACCTCGGAACCTGGCCCTGCACACCCTGCGTACACGCGAAGCCCTGCCTTCGTGCGCGGCCAGCCTCCCGCCGTCGCTGGCCGTCTTCTCGCCTCCCCGGCCGCAGCAGCCGTCCTTCCTGCTGGACAGCCACCGGGCGGAAATCTTCGGGCTGGCGCTGTCGACCAAGGCCCTGCAGGGGCCCTGGATGAGGATCTACAACAGCGAGGAGGACGGGTTGTCTTTTAACAGGTGGGTAACGACATTGTGTTCGCTGCGAGGTGATGGAAGGGTGATATTGTGGAAACTGCGTTTTGTTTGTTTCGCGGGCGGTGGCTGGTGGTTGCAACCACGTCTGGGAGGGTCTGCGAAGTTTTAGAACGAACTGGTAGGCTTTTGCCGGGTTGCATTCTTGATGTGTAGTAGGTGGGGGGGGGGGGGGACTCCTGGGGCCATAGATGCGCCCCACGCTTTGCCAGGTTCGCCTGCGCGCGTCCCAAAGGTAACCCAGACTAAGGTTTTAGCTCGTCGCCTGTAAGGGCACTTGTGCCCTGACGGTACATATCTGTTGCAGCGCCGGACATGTGCTGCTAAGCGCGGTTAGAGTGGCTACGCTATACCGCCAGAAGCTCCCCGGTCTTTTCCACTTTATCGCCTGCCTCCATCGCGCGGCCTCCGCAGGGTAGCTTTTAAGCTTGTCGGGTACGGGGGTCCCACGGTGATCTTGATCCGCGAGAGAGAGTCCGGCGCCGTCTGGGGCGGCTGCGCCGACTCCCCCTGGAAGGAGAGCAACTCCTTCTACGGCGGAGAGGCGTCCTTTTTGTTTAGGTTGGCCCCGGACTTTAAGATCATCCCGCACAAAATGGCCAGGCGAGTGCAGCGGTGTTTGTTGCTGAAGTTGTTGTCCGCGATGGTGTTGTTGTTGTTGTTGCCCTTGATAGTATTGTTGTCGTTTTGGCGGGTTGTTTTTTGTTGCCGCTGTCTACAGCCAACGGCCCGGCTTGTGTTGGTTCGTTTGTTCGGCTCTTGTCTCGATGTAGGTGCTTGTTTGGTCAGCCCGCTCGTTATCCACGCTTCTCTGTGTGCACGCATCGTTTGAGGCGTCCCTTGCCCAAACCCTTCCCACTGAGCACGCCGTGGTCACGGTGTCACACTTCCGTATTTGATGTACCCCCCCCCCCCCAACACCACCACCACGGAAACCGACAGCAACCACAACTTCCAGTACCTGAACCTCAAGGGCTTCAGCCTGCCGCACGGTTTCGGGATGGGCGGTTCGACGGAGGCATTCCGATTCTTCATCCCGGAGGCCCTGGACGACAAGTGCGTCGGGAGAAGCGCCTGCCTGACCTTTGAGCAGGGGGAGCTGTGCCCCGAACAGTCGCGACGCTTCGAGGTGGACATCTTGGAGGTGCGAGAGAGAAAACCTGCCATGCTGGGTATCACCGCCTGGTCGTTGATGTCCTTCTGGGACTCTCGTCCGGCGTTCTTCCTCGCCGTTGTTCGGTGATTCCGCGCCTTTTTTTTTTTTTGTCGTTTTGGATCATGGGCTGTTGGTTGCATGAATGGAGCCGTGTCCCGACCGGCTTAATCGGTTTTTGAAGGCACTGTAGACGTCATGGAGGGATTCGCACGCGTCCGCATCGCACGTGGTTGCCATTGTTGTTTTTCGTGGGTGTTTTGCTCACGCTAACTTTCAGCCCTACCCAAGCAGCTCTAGTTGGAATTATGTGATGCTCTTTGGGATCGGTATTTTGATGTGACGCTAGAGATCCTTTGCGACATTCAGTTCAACCTCCTTCCTCTTCCTGTCCAGACGTGCTTTCTTCTGTTTTCCCACATAGGAATATGATTTTTTTCAACATGTGTACATGTCGCGTTCGTACTCTTCTCATCTTGTCGCGTTTGGTCGTTCCCGATGGCAGGTGTGGGGTGTGGGCGGCGAGGAGGCGTTGGGGGAAGCGCTGGAGGCGAGGGATAAGCAGAGGGAGTACACTGCTGCACAGATCCACAAAGCTAGACAGGTGGGCGGCCAACGGCGAGAAGTGGATGATGGTGCTGCTGTCGGTCGTTGCCACTGTTGTGGTGGTTGTCGGTATTGTGGATGTTGCTGTGGTGATTGTGTGCCATCTGGCAATATGCCGACGGCGACTGGTCGGCCTTTTGACTGTGGTGCTGCCAATGCCGCTGTCGCTACCGACCTTTGCGGCACACCCTTGTAGCCCAAGGTTTCACACCCGTTTTCTTACCTAAGAGGCATCACAAAGTGTCGATTTCTTTGTCAGCCGTACATCGGTATTATCCTAGTCCCCTCAAAAGAATTGCACCGCTTCGATAGCTTTGGGTCTGAACAAACTCTGCGGCCAAAGGCCCGCAACACGTACCATTGCACTGCTACGTACCGTGCTCAACTTCTGCATATCGCACCAAAAAGAAAGCGAGGCTACCGCGGGATCGGGCTTCGTGCAAACTAGGGTCGGCGCTACTGCTGTTACACTGCAATAAGCCCCTTCCGTGCTCCCCGCTAGACCCACGCAAAAAGTGGCGTGTGAACCAGGCGGTGTACACCTGCTCGTCTAGCGTCATTTTGAGCCATGCACCCTATCTTACGCTACGATGTTTTCGATTCTCTCTCTTCCTTGTGCTTTACAGGTGGACAAGTCCAAGTTCGCGACGAACGCCTTCGACAAGGAGTTCCTGCTGGGCAAGACGTTCGGCGGTAACGGGGGGCACCACAACCCTAACAAAGATCGGCGCAAGGGAGAGCGCTGAAACTCCCACCCGAGCGCCGCACGCTTTCTCTCTACGCCTTTCCCCGTGGGCTTGTGCGTGTCAGAGCTTTTGCTTGTGGTCTGTCTTTCGGATAACCGCCATTTTTGGAGTTGTGCGTCCTTCGGAGTCCCATACGAGTTGTTTTGCGATGGTTCGGCTCTCGTTCGTTCCATGCGTAACGATGTGGCACGTACTTTCATTTTCCAGTGCAGTGGTGGCCATGATATATCGCGCGCGGTGTAGTGACAGAAAAAAATCGCCTCGTTATATCGGGACCCGCGCTTTGGAGGACGGTCCCCGAATAGAAGTTTCATTGTAGGCTAGGTTGTTGTGCCAAATAATTTTACCACGATATGTTGGGAACCGCGCTATTCGGGACCGCGATATATCGGGGCCACCTACAATACTGTAGGCGGATGATTGTTTTTTGTTTTTGCGTTCTTGCAAAGCTTGATTGAGTAGGTGTCCCCGTCAACAGCTTTGGGTGTGTATCGTGTCAAGATTGTCGTGTGTTTCGTCGAGAGTGTGGCGTTCCGCCAAGAGCACGTCAGTGTGTACACAGTATCAAAGGTAAGGTAGTCTGTTGTTGGAAAGCAAAAGACCGTGGCAGTTCGTACAGACGCGGAGAACACGAAGACTGCTTCCCACACGAGCATCGAATGTTGGTGTCGCTCAGAGCACCTTTGCTTTGCGGCCCTGTCCAAAGCGAACCTTGGGCAGGGCATCTCTAGCGTTGATTCTATTTATTTAGTGTTTCTGCTCGAAAGGGTTCTTGCGAAGTGGTTGATCGTTGGCATGTCGCACCCCGGCCGTATCAACGAGACGGCCGCACAAGCTTCAAAGTCTAGCGCCGGACAAAGACGCGATGCACTGGACGTTGCACGTCTATTGGAATCGCCAACGACTGGTCCGAGCACCCTCCTTGAATCTTGTTTCAATTTCGCTTGCATCGGCTTCACGGACCCATATTTTCACATCACAACCGTCCGTTCTGCCGCGGTATCCGGAGCATGCTCTGAGTGTTCGTGTCTCGCCCAGTTGTCCTTCGATCTCAAGATATCCATGCGGTATGTTGCTCTGCCATTTTTCGATCCCTTCCCGTACGAAACCGATCCAGCGTTCATAGAGCGAATCTTTAAAGCTTGTACCCTTCTAAATGAGGACATGGTCCTGGCAAAACCTTAACTCAACTCGAAGCCGAGTGGAGATATCGTCAACAAACGTCACAGATATCAAAACGCCACAAAACATCAAGACCGAAACTGAAAGCAAAACATATTTGGTTCCCCAACCCTGGTAACTTCCGTCATCCTTGTTTTCGAACTACAATGTACAAGAAGTGGTCGGGATGCCGCAGTGCGCCCCACAGCTGCGTGATCGGAGCATCCAGCGGAACCTCCACCCCCTGAACCAACACCACCGGTAGACTCATCGCTCCTGCATCGTCACTACTCACAGCGAGCATCCCGGCTTGTTGTCCTCCAATTACTCGAGTATCGGTCTCCAGCCTCTCCTCGACCCCTGATCTTTCCGCCGCGTTTCCCTGGGTATCCACAGTATTTACAGTTCCCTCCTCAGCGGAGTCTCTCCGTCCGAAGTCTCCTTTCCCCGGCTGCGCTGCCGCAATCCCTGCCTGTTGCTGCTGCTGCTGCGATAAGGGCACCTCCTCCGCGCCCTCTTCAGCATCCCACGGAACGCCTGGACAGAACCAGCGCAGGCAATCCCGCAGAGTGAAGGGCGTGCCTGCACTCATCGAATACGGTCCAGAATTGGTTGAGGGGGGGTCGTGCTGTAATAGATTAGTGCTGCGAGCGTTCCGTTGATATCATCCCGCCTTCAACGTCTATCACAGAAAGATGCACGACTCCGATCTCCGCCAAAAGTCTTCGACCAGCTGAGAAGAGGGGTGTGTGGAAGAACGAAGATAGGCGCCGTGTCTAAAGCTGAAACTGGCGATCCAGTCTTGGTGTGACTGTAGGGAAGACGTATACTTCCATGCCCATAACGACTACCGGCTAACGAAACCATCTCTCGGCATCACCACGGATCATCGTAGCTCTTGCTGTGGGTGGCGGAAAGTAAACACTGATCCAAACTTACCACACATACAGCAGCACCACCTGTACCAGCACCAACCAAGTGCCCCACCCGACGGCTGGTGGTCTTACCGTCTGGTCGCTGCGCGGGAATAGGAAGCTGAGACGGCGGAGCCCCTCCAGTCAGTAGCCGAACCGGAACCAAGCGGACGGTTCCCCTGTCCCCGCCCAATAAAGCGTCCATCTCGTGAAACACCTTCGTGTCGTCTTGTTATGTTGTGATCGACGCAGAGACGAAAGCGAGAAAAAAAAGAATTGACGATGACGCTAGCCGTAAGAGAACACGAAAGAGGTATGAACGGGAGGTGCACCATTCTAGCCGAAAAATATAAATAGCGGTGGTGAAACGTAGGCTATGTGTGCATGTGTTCTTCGCCTGGCGAGGTGATAGCAACAGGACGGGTGATTCACGAACGAAAATCTACGTAGACTCCACGAGCAGAGCTGTCGTTCACGAGGTTTCTCGCGAAAAAGGGGATAGGGTTCCAAGATCCAGTGCTCTCAATACGATTAGAGGGGAGACTGGCAGTAGCAGATACCGGTTACCACTGCCATCGAAGCTTCTTTGACCCGACCACTCCTCTTCCAGAGGTACCACAAAACAGCGTCGGTAGTAGCGTACCCATTCGGCCTCAAGCCAATCAATTGCCAGCCTTGCTCGGAGGGCATGCAGCCGTATTACCCGGCTACAGCACAACACCGCGTTAGCTCTTGGCTGCACGCCGGCTTAGGGTTGCATGTGGCCGGACATGCGTCCTTACATCCTTGCCGTTCGAAACCGACCAGGATGGCAGTGGGCGTTTGCCGCGTCCAATCAGCTAGACGCCCACTCACTGCTTTTTATCGCCTGCCACAAGCGGTTCTGGTTCTCCTTCGCGAGAGTCATCCCCGCCCTGGAAGAGCCGGATTGCAGGAACAGGGCCTGCTTCAACGCGTTCGTGTAGTGCCTGCGGATGTCCGCCTCCTTCTCTAGGGGAAACACCTGCCGAGACGACAATCAACCGGTCGAACAACAAACAACAATCCCGGTGGAGGGAGAAGCAAGAACTGCTATCGCCGCCAAGATCAGCATTTCCCCCCCACCGACAGAACGCGTTAACCGTCGCAAAACCAACCACAAAAAAACAACTAACAAACGACCACAACGACTGACGTGCCCTCCGAAACGTTTCCCAAAACTCAACGAAATGATGACGTCATGGAGCCCCCCGCGAGATATACCAGTCACAGCACCCGCAAAGACTCTCGCAAACGGGCCAAAGTTCAGCCGCTCTCGTCTTTCCACAACGGGTGGGGCAACCCAGCACCAGCGGGAAGTCCACCACAACAATAACACAGGAAATAATAAAAGAAGGGGGTTCGCATGTCGTACCTGTCGCCGGGGGCACCCTTGGAAGTGCACAGTAATCCTCCACGGCAGCAGCCCCAGACGCCCGGGACCCGACCATGGTACTTCTTCACCATGCTTTGCGCCCCCGCCTTCCTCTTGCCCAACGCCCGCGATCAGGTCGAACAACACTCCTGTAGGGACATGCCTGCAAGTAGAAGGCGAAATATGTAAGGGGGGCGGAGGCGCGTGGTATGTGTACTCCAGGCCGCACTCTGACGACGCCTTACGGAAAGTACTGCTGCCATGAAAGCGCGACTGAAATGGGATGCAGGGGGAAGCAAGCCGAAGGTATGTTGAGAGATACCGTCGCACTATAGGACCGATCTAGGTGCCTCCAAGGTTGCTGTAATGTACGCCATCACAACGGTGGTCCATATCTTCCGTCGCAGCTTCACACTCTCCGCACGCAACGCCCACCCCTCTTCTCCCTTATCAAGACAGCCGTGTCTACATTTCGAGAACCTTTGACACTTCTCAACGGACCCCTCTCACCACCTCAACGGCTCTCCGGATCGCGTCTCTTCGAGCCACAGGGTGCGCTGGGCGTCGGGAGCAACTTCGCCGAAGTGGTGCGAGATGGCCTCGGCCACGCACGGGAGGAAGCCCATGCGCGGCAGCAGCAGCTTCAACAGCAGAGCACACGAAGTGGGAGCAGTAGAGGTCCCTTATTAGTGCCGGTGTTTTCCGCGGGCACACACTGAATTTCCAGGTCATTCTCAACACTTTGAACAATGCCGGTCCCGGAATAGTGCCGGTGGATTTTCTGGGCACATACTTCACCGGCACTAAACAGGGACCTCTACCGGTGTACTTTGAGAACGCGGCGCGCTCAGAAAAGCTTTGCTGTTGTGGGAGAAAATTGACATAACAACAACACTATTGGTGGACCGGCAGCGCGATAATCGCCTCTCTCCCATAGGAGGAGGGCAACTACACACCGTATCGCTGCCGTGTATGATATATGTGTGCACAATACAATTGCTGTGCCGGACGTGTACGTACCTGTACCTGTACCTGTGCTGCTACAACAAGTGTAGACTAAAGTCTAGACTATTTTGTCTCTAAATAGTTTACAGCAGTACAGCCGTCTCTAAGCCGTACCGCAATCCATTGGTAGCTCTCTCTCTCTCGGTCCAAGTTAGCCTTGTGAAGAGTCAAAGTCGACGGTGTGGCGGCCATGTCATAGTCCCCCCCCTGCCATCACGGGCACATCTAGCGCAGAGCACACCTGCTTTCTCACTTTGACTCTCAACCATGATCAAGATGTCAGTGGGAGAATACCGCCTGTGGCACTTGGTACTCTGCTTAGTACGTGTACTGTAAATAGGTTTTCACAGAACTCACGTAGAGTGGAAGCGGCCTTTGAAGAGAAGTAACCTCCGAGCTATCCATAGATAGCTCGGTGGGAATCATCCCACCCCAAGCTTCCTGCCTCACATCCTGCAGTAGAGCATCCATCACACTGCCTGCAGTGCACGGCGAGCCAAAAGGGACCGCCTACGCCTATATATTAATAAACTATATAGGATTTAGAGTGGGTGCCGGGAAGTGTAATTCCGCCGCTCCTTTTCTGAGGAGTTATGGAATCTGTGAGGCCTTGGATTTTGAGCCAAAAGCAGGGGATGGAGGCCCAATGTCCCTGTAACGGCCGTTTTATTTTCGCGACCCAAACCAGAAGCAGCAGCAGCGGCTACAGCAGCAGTGCAGCAGCTAGTAGCAGCAACAGTGTAGCGCAGCAGTGTATCAGCAGCAGTGCAGCAGGAGTACAGCAGCGGAGGAGCAGTCCCTGCTGTAACGGCTGTTGTGCGCCAAGATGATAGTGGCTCGGTCGTGGTGGGGTAAAGCCAGCCAGCTAGCTGCTGCTGCTGCTGGCTGGGCTGGCTCGTGGGCGGATGATCGGAGGCAGTGGGAAGGGAGTGGCAAGGCCGAGGCTCAGGAGGAGACACACCGATCACCTGTCCTGAATTGTGGGCCTTGATTTGTAGCTATCGTAGCTACACAAATAAAAGAGATGAGAGATAGAGCAAGGCAGAGAAGCAACTCCTTGCGCAATACCCCGAGCCAAAATTACCCGCCGAGAGCTGAGCCCCGTCAAACAGAGCTCTTTGTTATGCACACACGCACACGCGCGTAGGCAGCTTGCTAACCTTGCTTAGCCTTCGTTGTCGGCTTGCTTACCTCCTCGAGCTTCTGCAGAGACAAAGAATGTACCGAACGTTCCCCACTCACCAACGGCCACACACACGGCAAACCACAACGGTCGCTGTTGGCGCTACACTGCGCACGTACGTCTCTTGGACGGGCACCCGTGTGTGTTCCACACACACGTAGGTTTGTCGCAGTGCCCTCCTGCTATCTTGTCACAGCGCAGTGTCTCCCTCTGACCACTTTCATGTCGGTGCGCCTTGTCTTCCAACCTCTTCAATATTGCATAATTTTCCTCTTCCCTCACGCATGATAAGCAGCTGCTAGCAGCGTCCCAGGAAAAAATATCAATAATGCGCACTGCAAACAAATAGCGTGTGAGAACTAGTCTAGCGCCTGAGAACACAACAAGAGAGTAGTGATTGCCGGCGGCGAGGAGCGTTACTCAGGCACTGGTCGGGAGCACTGCGCAATTTTGGCGCGGATGTTCGGCGTTTTAAAATAACATGTCGCGTTTTCTACGCATGCACACAGATACATTCCAACAATAAGAGAAGGGCACTTCGTTCTTTTCCACCAAGAAGAACAAATTTAAGACGGGTGCAACATGGTTGTTTTGCCTAGAAAAGGATATCGATATGTAACAATGTGGGGGATGGCGCGTGAGGGTACCTTTGCGGGCATTTCGATGATGTTGCGCCGTAGCGGTGATTCAGAACGCCGTAAATGGTGCATGGATGCAGTGCATGATTATCAGCATGGGTCGGGAGCATGTGGTGAGTCATGCACACCGCAAACGTCTTCTTAAGTCGCCGGTTCCCTTCACCCTGGCGGCCGAAAGGCTGGGTACACGGCCCTGTTTGAGGTGTTTCACCACACCAAAACACGACAAAGCGCACAAAAACCATGAGGATCATGGATGGCATGTACATACAAAGCTGACTGACCCTGGCAGAAGGGAGTGGGTGTCAATTGGGCATGCCTTCGTGCGAGAACCGTGGGTTCGGATTTATAGCCCCGGCCGTCCAAATCTGGGTGAGCCGAACCAGAGCCGAAACCACCAGAAAGTGCTCACAGCTCCGGTCAAGTCGGGAGTTTTTTTGTTGGTAAGCTCCACATGGGCCCTGGACAACTCGTGAGCGACTCAAACCGGGGACAGAGTGTCGTCGTGTGCCCATCCTTCGCCCCCGACAACAAACAAGAATGCCTGTGCAGTCTCTATTTGTTTTAAAGTACGCCCGATGGCGTGCCTTTGCCGCCTCTGGAACAGGCAATGCTCGCCATCACCATACTTGTGTCGTCGAGTAATGCTATTCTTGTGCTCCTGATGCAGGCAGGCAACTTCCGACAGAAAGAGGAGTGTGCCTTGCTGTTTTGTGTAGAGGACGTGGGTGGTTTGAGAACGGCGCAATATGGTCCTGAAACATTCACGCGAATATTGGGCCTCGGGACGGGGGTGGCCCCGGAGGGTGATTGCGAGCATTTGGATGAAGTTGCCTCGAAGGCCTACATTGGCGACCAAAAGCAGCGTTCACATGGTTTAGCGCACAAGGACCACACGACGCCGCTGGCTGAAGCGTGGCGATCGACGGAAAATGAAACCATGAACAGTAGCAAGTTGTCAGCAGGACATTTGCGTTTGCATGTCCTTCAACACAACGTGTGTGTCTTTTCTCGCGCGTGAGCGCCTTTGATCAACAACAATGGCACTGCCGCCTTTTTCTTCTCGAGGTGCTAGTTTCAGTGTTCTACTCAAGCCGGACCCTCTCAACTCAGCGCGTTGAAACTCGAATCCTACCGCGCAAAACACGCCTGGTGTGTCCATACTCCGCAGAGGCACTATCGTCCTTTATTTTTTTCTTTTCCACACATGTTGCATGGGAGCTTCTTGTCTCGGGCTGCCTCGGTCGAAAGGGCGTGTACTTTGTCACAAACAGCCAAACAATGGAAAACCCTTCAAGCCTATCTCGCCTCGGCGAAACACGTTTGCATACCTGGGTAAGTACACGACCAAAAAAAAAAACGGGATAAACCATGCACACACAGGACACCAATCCCTCTTTGAGCCTGCGCCCACTGTAGCACCATAACGCGTGCCCGGTCCGACCTTGACCCCCAAATGCATCACGTGTTTCCGTAAGGATTCACAAAACTCAAGGCGCTAAAACGGAGCTGAGGAAAACAAGGTCAAGCCGCCCAAAGCAGTCAAACACGCGCACCAACGGCTTGTCGCGGAAACACCTGCCGCATGTCCAGAGTGCAGCCTGGCACCCCGACAGACTGGTTGAGGCGTGGCCGTCGACTCTGCTCAAGAGGGCGCCTAGTAGCTTCCTGTTGTACTTCCTATTCTGAAGCTCGTTGATGACACTGAGCGAGTACGTGAAATTGGGAAAGGTCATGTTGTTGATAGACCGCAAGTACATGGCCTTAACCCCATGGTCGGACTCGTGGCGGGTGAGATTAACCCCACCGATATCTTTACACGTCGTCAAGCCACTGTACAGCTTCCTACAATCCGGCCCGTGGTTGTTCTCGTGGTGCCCATCAGGCCCGATGCGCATCTCCCTCTTGATCGGGTCCCCCTCGAAGTTTTTGTACCTCGTGTCGTGGAAAATTGCATCGTAGCCAACCACCTTGCCTTCCTCCGTCGTGGTTGCGTGCGGTGCAGCGTTCCGCGCCAGGCTGAGCTCCAGCTCTTTGAGTGCGTAAACGCCCCGCCCAAATCCAATTCCTCCACGCACGGCGATCGCTTGCAAAAAAACACGAAAACACGGAAAACGGACGCAGGCATACCAACATGAAACACCGGCGTCAAATTGTGCAGAGGGCGGGCCCCGCCCTTGAAACGTGAAGTCAACCTGCCGGCCGTAGAGAATTTCGCCTACTCGTGTCGATGCTAAAAAAACAATACTACCCACCCATACCAGAGGAGTGGACTCCCATCACCAGGCGGCGACTGGACAACAGGCAAGTCATACGAGCAACTTTCGTGCAGTGCACTTCGTAAGTGCATACCCGAAAACTCTACCAAACAGAGAACAGCATCAATGCGCCGATACACGATGTGCACCGAAAGCATGGAGCACCCGAACGTCACCCACCTCTGCACACCGAGCAGCGAGAGCTCCGACTCAAAGGGGTATCGTCGCACGTGTTCAACCTATTGTACTAAGGTGAGCGGTGCTGGGCAGCAAAAGAATACCTCCTGCCCGCTAGCACCTTCACCAACATCACCACATCGGCGCACCTGCTCTCTCTCTCGCTTCTGAAGTCAAAGGCTTGAGGCAATCCACGACGAAGTCCACCTTGGCCTGCAGACAAGAACGGGCGCAGGGATATGGCGTCGCGTCAACACATGTGCAAACGATGCAGAAGCAGATTTGGCCGTGCCGGTTAAAAGAGCTTTTCTAAAGTTGGGAAGGGGCCAGTCAGCAAGTCGGGATGAAGCAACAGCGTGTTATTCAATTTTTGCCTCTGCCGTGCTGTCCAAGCGCATGTTGCCGTGTATTGCCAAGCCTTTTTAGCGGGGTTGTAAGTGCACACAGGTTGGGTTTCATCTCGCACATCAAACCCAAAGCGGACCACCAAAACAAGCCGGGACAGTGGAGGCTTTTTTTTTGTTGCTTCACGCCACTTCAGCTGCGACTTTTCCGACTTCGTCTAGGGCGGAGTGTGCTCAATGCCTGCTTGCCTCAGTCAATGGACTACTGACAACGCACCAAACAAGTGCTTATTATTCTGGCAACTTTTGAGCGCATACTTGCTCTCGAGGGGCGGGAGATACTCAACGGTTGAACCCGCCGGCCAGAATGCAGCATCCAATTTTCTCACCTTGGCGTATCTACGCAATCCTGTCTCCAGTTCCCCCTCAGAGATGCAGGTGGCATGGAGCCACGATGGTAACGCGGACACTTTGCTCGCTTGCCTTGATCCCGATAACCCCACGAGCACCCGCAGTAGGAAACCCGCTGCATCAGCGTGGGGAAAGCCGCCGCCCTCGTCGCCCCCCAAAGGCGCGTGCACAACCCATCCCGCAGCTTCGCCCGCAGCCCCTCCCACTGCCCCTCCCACTGCCCCTCCCGCTGCCCCTCCCGCTGCGTCTCCTGCTGCTTTTCGGTGCCAGTAGTAGGTGAAGACGAGCACTTCGAAGAGGGACAGCACACGCACCCCATCTCGGTGCAGGGCATCAAGCGCTCTCGTCGCTGTTAGCTTGCTTCGCCCTCCGACAACCTTGGAAAACTTCGCGGCCCAAAACAGCGCTTCGTCGGGGTCAACCTCGCTTTGGAGGCCGGGCCGCGGACCCGCCGTCTCCATGACGGCGTACATGTCCTCGCGGTCGGTGGTCCTCGGGAGATCTTGAAACGTGCGAGCCGCTGTATCCCGCGTGGCACTGTTGCGGTTGTTCCCCACGTGTGCCAGCTCGGGGAACACCACATTCCCTTCGCCGTCCCGCTGCAGCACCCCGGTCTTGTCCTTCAGGAGCCCAGGGCAATACTTTTCAAGCCCCTTCACCAACTTGCACGCGGCGTCGTACGACAGGAGGTACGGTTTCACCTGCCAAGGAGAAGGCGTTCAGAGGCGACCTAATTGGAGATGCGATCAGTCGGCGTTAGTAATGACACTCCGCACACCACCTGCTACCCTTACGATATTTTTACGGGCCATCCTACCACTGCACGTTTGATATGGACGGTCGCACTGTGCAAGACGGAAGAGGTCCACTCCCGGAGCCACACAATGGTCCTCGGGGTTGTTTGCTTCTAATTATGCATACCAATAACTTCTTCAATATTGGTTACTGACATGGTTCGGGATGTACAACCCAACGATCCCTGTAGATGCAAACCTTTTTATACAAACGCAGCCTATATAGTGACACGAGCGACCTCGAGGGAGCGGTCACGACTTACTCCCGCAACAAGAATCACGGAAGTGAATGGCTACTAAATTTTCAGACCCCGTGGCTCAAAAACTACAACATGAACCATGAATGTTCTCAAGGCGTGTCGATGAAATCGATCATGCTCTGAGACATGCTCAAGTTTCCTCGCTTACGTATCGCTGAAGCATTCACATTCTGACCATAACACCGCCCTTTATGGCTGCAGAACGTTGCAAGAAATTCACACTTTTGCGACATTTCTTGCAACTTTCCTCATGTACGCTCAGTATGGGAGCAAAAAGTTGCGCAAAAAGTTTTGAGCAAAAAGTTGCAATCTGGAGAAAAAGTTCTGCAATTTCTTCGCGACGAAGGTGGCGAACAAAAGTTGAAACGAACGGCGCAGCTTCCGGCAATCCACGTCAAGCTGCTATACCGCTACCACACACGTAGACCCTCTCCAGCTTCGATTGTGGGAAGGCCGTGATCATCGACATCTCGACGAGAACTTAACGAGATGCCTCATGAATTGTATCTGGAAGGAGGTGATACCATGAGCTGTTGGGCAACGCCAAGTTTGGCGCCGTGAGGTGCCGAATGCGCCGGGAAAAGCGTTTGTGCTGTGCTCGACCGTCAGCGGCCGCGAGCGGTTAGTTCACTATCGGGGGTTTTGACCGCCACGGGTTTGGTTATCCACCGACAACTTTCCGAAGGAGGAGGCAACAGCAATAGCAAGGCCACTCGGCGGGAGGTAGCTCTCTGCTTCATCTTTTATGCCCCAAGTTTTGGTGCTGTAGGGTTTCGTGCGCGTCGGGAAAAAAGTATTGATTGACACACGTCAGAAACCCGTTGGTTCAAGTTCGCGTGGATTATGAGCTCATGGTTTCTTTTTCAGCGATAACTTTTCGAAGGAGGAGACAACAGCAACAGCAATGCCACCCGAGGGAGCTAGCCCTACCCAGCATCTTTCTGGTACGAGGATAGATGCCTTGGGGTATCGTGAGTGTGTATAAAGAAGGCTTTGCAACTACCCTCTCCCGCACGCTCTGGTCGTTTTTTTCGCGGTGTGATGCGAAAGGCGTGTGCCTGCTTCTCGTCGTTGCTAAAACAAAAAACAACACCTCGGCATTCCGCTAGTCCCGTGCACAGCACTTTCTTCATCCCATAACGAGCGTGCACCAAAAGTTCCATTGACAAGAGTTCCCGGACAAAAGTTTCACCCAAACTTTAACTTTTCTCACAACTTCTTGCAAAAGAATGATATAAATCATTTGCCCACCTTCATCCACCTCATGAAGTCAACTACGTCGTTCGGACTTTCGGCTGTGGGCAGCACCTTCCACGCCACCATAACGCCTGCCGGAGTGAAGGCGCACACTATACCCGCGGTCGCCACCCCCCCTCGACCGCCAAGGAACTGCTTGGAGCAGTCGCCGTCATGGAACAGCGCGCGAAACTTTGCGATGTAGTCCTCTTTCCTCGGTAGCCTTGACCACAGATATAAGAGCATCAACAAGGCGAAACAGGGTAACCGGAAAATCAGAAGCCTTCCCAGAAAACAGCGAGGCGAGTCGTATGTACGTATTCCATTCATGTCGACTGCGAATTTAGTGCCAGACGACGGACAGGACAAGACACATGTGTTGGGAGAAGCATCAATTGGGTAAGTGTTTAGCACGCCCCGGAAAGAGGCTGACTGGGGTTCGTACAACATAAAAACTAGGTTAGGGGTAACCTGGTCCCTCCGACTCTATGGCAGTCTTCAACCTAACGGCAGTGGGGAGTATGGGCCCGCCTCGCGTGGGAACACCAGCCGCACCCGCTCGGGCTCAAGGTGCCGAAGACGACCTTGTGCAGCTTCTTGAGGTCCTCGGCCGGCATCTCGTCGACCAGGCTGATACCCCCGCCTTTCTCCTCCGATGCCCCCAAGAGGTCCGCACGGTTGGGTGGCACGAACGTGTACACCGATTTCGGGACCACCGCGCGATCCGTCTTGATCCCCCTCTCGGCACGCCGATTGTCGGGCGACACCCAGGCAGGTGTTCTGCCGACGGCCTCCAGGTCCCCCAAGACGAACTGAACGCGCTCGGTGAAAAACACCGCCGACACCAAACTCAACTTGAGGCACAACATCGACATGTCGAAGTCGAGAGTAGTTTCGGGTCTCGTCTTGTTCGCTAGCGCTTTGGTCAGCGTGTTTACCGACATCTTCACGCAAGCGTCCACGGTAAACACCTCCGAGTGCGAGCCCCACTGAAAGCACCGAAACTCAAACGAGAAGTTGATGACGGCTAAAAAGCCGAGGAATACGTTCGTGAGCGTAACGAAGAACCTGGAGTCTTTATCAGTGATACTGTGTTTGGCAAGACACACGCAACAGCGGAGGGAAGGGCAGAAAATGCCGT